CTTTCAATTCCTTTTTTCATGCAACAATGTATCCAAATTTGTATTAGCTCCATTGCCCATCTTTGCTAAATGCAATTTGGAAGGAGTAATTGCAGCTTATAGCTTTTGCAATCAATTTTTGGTAGACAAATATAACATGATTTCATGATTAAGTTTTTTTTTTTTTTGTCGATATGAATATAATAGAAATTCATAACAATAAAAACTATCATTATAATAAATATTACAAAAATTCATTTAAGCAACAATTATAAAAAGTCATTTCAAATTTTATGCTATTTTACAACTTTTTTTGTCATTATAAATATGACAAAATATTAATAAATTTTTTTGTTGTTATATAAAATATTAAAAATAACTAAAATAAAGATATTGAAAAATCTTTACAAATATAACAAGATTTCACAAATTTTTTTTTGTATCATTATGAATATGGTAAGAATTTGTAAGATAAAAGTTATCATTGAATAAAATATTAAAAAAATTATTGTTTTATATGATTTTGCAACAAAATTTTTTTATAAATACAATAAAATACTAACAAAATTTTTTTATCGTTATATAAAAAAATAAAAGAATTTATTAAGCAACATCTTTACAAATATAATAAATTTTGCAAAGATATTTTTTGTTGTTGCAAATTGGAGTTACTAAAAGTTTATTTTCTTATAATATCCATCCATCTTTTTTGCTAAATGCATTTTGGAAGGAGTAACTGTGGCTTATAGCTTTTGTAATCAATTTTTGGTAGACTCTTTCTTCTGATCAGATCCATGAGTTTGCTGTGGAGAAGATGGATCGTGTGGAATGATAAACTCTTTCTTTCTTCTGATCAAATCCATGAGTTTGTTGTGGAGAAGATAGATCATTTGGAATGGTGGACTCTTTCTTCTGATCAGATTCATGAGTTAGTTTTGGAGAAGATGGATCATTTGGAATTCGTTTTGTTGCTGCATTCAACAAATGGGAATATAAGATATATGAAGAACAATTACATATTTTTTAAATCGATAAAAAAATTAATTACAAAACCAAATAAACTAATATATTATCTAACACAAAGTTAAACAAAACGTAAACTCTCATATATATATATATATATTATATTATAAGGGAGACTATCAAGATTAAATTTTTATTATTGAAATTAAAAGTTTCCAAATTTTATTAATAAATTACATAATTGTTACCTTTCATCGATACTTTTATGATACAAAAAATAACTATATTTATATATTACCACCAATTCCAAATCTGATGTTAGAGTAGGGGAGAGGTCCAACGTCCATGCAATTGTATTCGCACTTGAGATGACACTTGAAGCTGGGTTTCTTAGGGGGTGAGTTACACTTTGCTTGCAAACAATCCATCATACAACGATCAAAGTATACAAAATCTGATTTTGCTACTTCAACCATGCTGAGTAACATTAATGCAGAGCAAAAAAACAAACTTCGTCAAAGACATTTGCACCATTTTTTCCTGAATCAAAAACCCTTTTTTAGTTCATTGGAAAATTTTCCTATACGAATGAAGTTTTTAAAGGAAAATATTGCCCAAATGATTGGTTTACAAAGGAAAAAAATTAGGGCACGATTATTTTAAATTTTGTTTAAATTTAGAAATTGTCTAAATTATTATGTGATCCATATTTGACAGTTTCTAGTAATTCGTTGACATATTCAATATGTACTATTTAAGATTTTTTTAAAATATTTATTTATAATATATATAATTATCATTGAATTTAATAATTTTATTAACGAAAATAGCATCCAAGAAAAAATTTTGAGAGTGTAAAATTTTTTTTTTTTTTAAATTTGGGGTTTTTATGTTAAATATGTAGATTCGCTTGTGAATGACTGAATGTCAGCAAAAATCCATAAAAGGATTTGATTCCTTAAATATATGGTTGAAAAAATAATTTTTAATTATTAAAAATAGACTTATTTGACTGTTAAAAATTAAAAAAAAGGGTAACCATAAAACAATAGATTTAATGATTTCAAGTATAATCTTTTCATTTTTTTTACAAATAGTTTGAATTTCATCGAATTTTCAATGCAATACAATTAAGTGTATCATACCTTTAATTAAATTTAAACGTCAATTTTAATAAAATTAAATTAACATAAATTTTTTATTAAATTTTTTTAATTATAATTATAATAATTTTTTTCAATCATAATTATAATAAATTTTATTATTATTTTTAATCTTATCATAATTAATTTTATCGTTCATTTAAATAAAATTTTAGTCAACAACAAACCTCATTGACTTAAACTGTATGCCATGATTGTTTATAACGACGTCGTTCCTAGTTTCATCATAAGAGCCGACGAATAAAAGACCCAAAATATAAACTAATAATGGCATTGTGGAATTAATCTGAGGAGAGAGGTGGGTTTTAAGATTACTCATCACATTCATGTCTGTTTTGTCTAAACACTAGTGGACACAGCGTTTCTAATCGTCGAGGTATTATTTGGTGGCTGAGAGCGACTGAAACTAAGTCAGGAAGGGCCAGATGGCAGATGCATAGAGAATTGCTTCAAAGCAACCAATTCAGCCCACCAAATGGCCAACCCAGCCTGCCAACTCACGCTTCACACTCTATCATGTATTTTTTCGCATTTCCTTTATTCACATTTCACACACGCACACGCGGACACCGCGTAAGCTCAGCGTAACGTTTTTTTTTTTTTTTTCCCTTCGCCTTTGCCATTCAAACCAAATCAGCCAAACGCGTCTTTACGCTTTTTATAAATAATTTCATTAAACGCAGCAGTCATTAAATTTAATAATTTGTATCGTATTGTATCATATAAAATATTATATTTATATAATATTTTATATAACAATCTTATAAAATATAAAATATAAATTTTTAATTTTATTAAATTTACTTATAATTTTTTTAAAATTTTAAATCATATTATTTTTATATTTTTTATTCACATCTTTTTCATATCATATTATTATATTATATTTTAAATTATCATATTTAACTGCCATTCACTTGTTTTCCTCTTCAAAAGACTGAGCTACCCTTCAAGGCTTTAATCATCCAACCCTAACAAACCTCCATTGGGTATGAGCTACCTCACTTGTTTTAAAAGCCTGTTTCATTAGGAGATTTCATTGGCATTTCTGCATATGAGATCAACCCTTGACAGGGAATGCTCAACGCATGTGTTAGCTATAAAGTATGCTTAAAGATACTTAACAAAATAATAATTTTATAATATAAAACAAAGTGATTTTATTATTTTACTGGAGTGCGTAATGCATAAAAGAAGGTTTGGTTGATTACGTTAATTGGTTGACTTTAACTATACAAGGAGGGCAGCCACAAAACGGGTGGATGGAGGGCAGTCGCCATCCTTAAATAGAGTTAGGTTTAAGAAGACAAACAAGTTATTAAGAATTTATTTTATATATATATATATAAATATATATATTTATGTTGCTTAAAGAAAATGTGAAGATGCAAGTTGTGACCTGTTAAGGATTTTCAATGGGAGAGTTATTAGTCCAATTGTTTGGAGGATATCATATCATAATTATGAACGGAGAAAAGGGCATGGTGTTTTAGGTCATGAGAAAGCTTCGTTCTTTTTGTAAAGTTTGCATAATTATATATTATTGTGACAATAAAAGAAAATATAAATAATATAATTTAATCATTTTTCATTGATAAGATTAAAAGAGAAGACAAAATCACAAAAATTAAATTTTATAACGTTCATATCATAACCGTTAATTTTATTTTGGTATTGATAGTATCAATCAATACGTTTTAGTTATATTAAAATACGATATACTTAAAGATAATTTTTTATATCGGATTTGATATTGAAAGATATCAGTTGTTTTTATTAGTTTTGGTTGATTTTAGTGAATTTTGATGAACTGATTTATTTCGATTTGTACGTGAATGTGAAACATGTTTTGTAATTTTTAATTTATTTTTATTATTTAATTATTTTTAATATAATAAAATTAAAATTAATTGACAAAATAACTTTAAAAATCAAGTTTTTTTATTATAACTTGTTTTTTTATATTTTATTTTTTAAACAAAAATTATAAATATTTTAATTTCTTTCAAAAAAGTAATTGTGATTTTTTTTAAGTTTGACAATCATGAAACCAAAGTTAAATTTTTTTCATTTTTTCATTTTTATCTTAATATTTATATGAAAAAATATTTATTTAAATATCATATGATTAGATTGATTATTTAAAAACATCATAAAAATTTATGATATTATTTCATATACTTTTAAACTTATTTATTTAAAATTTGAAGATATTATAAGTTTATTTATTAAATTATTAACAAGATTATAATGTACAAATATATATTTATAAATATATTTAAACCAAACCAAAAAACTTAAAATAATATATCAAAATAATTAATAAAGATATATATCACATTTTTAAAAAAATCGAAACATTATCTGATATAATATAATATTAATAACCTTGATTCATACTCTTGCTCCAAAGACAAAAAAAAAAAAAAAAAGAAGAGAAAAGTGCATCCATCACTAATCAGTTAATTTGTTGATTTGAGGTTAACCAATGTTGTTCAATACTCTAATTGAAAGGATTAAAAGAAGAACTCAAAAAGAGAAACCCTAGTTTTTCACTGCTTTCAAAATCATCATTTTGTCTCACAATGTCTCTTCTCCCAACCTTCTTTTCTGAATTATGTAAGCATAATAAATCACTCTCAAATGGGCCAAAAATAAAAAGGAAAAAAACCCCTCATTCGATTATTTTCACTTCTCTTAACACATTAAGAATAACAACTATACTTGATTTCCACTTCTTTTCCTTGTTAGATATGATTTCCTCAATTAAAATCGTGTAGGCCAAAATTTGCATTTATTACAAATGAAATCATTTTCCAGTAAAATTAAAAAGAATTAAAAGAAGAGGGGCAGATAAGTAATTTGACATAAATTTCTGCCTTATTTATTGCATAAAATCCCACCGCGTTCCTGCGAAACGAAACGAACCGACACCGAGCAGCAACCACGAAGAAAGAGGCAAAGAGGGTTCCAATCCTAAACCAAGCGTGAATATAGAAAAAACAAAGCACTATATTTTAACTTCAACGGTTCAATCTGAAACCATAACAGAGAAAAAAAGCAGAACCTAACTCTATCTTTCTCTTTTCACTCTTCTCAAATAGTATAAACTTCAATTCTATCCCAATTTCCTTTGAAAAAAAACAAACCCTGAAAAAAGATCACGAATTTATCCACTAAACAGTGAAAAGGAAGGGTTTTTCTTGTTGAAGGAGGATGTCAAGTGGGGATCTAGAAAGGGGAGGAGGAAGTACTGGGAAGAACAGGGCAAATAGCTATTCTGCAGGTCCATACTATGTGGAAAGTACTGAAAAGCAATGGACTTCATGGCTTGTCCCGATGTTTGTGGTGGCTAATGTTGCTGTTTTTGTTGTGGTGATGTATATCAATAATTGTCCTAAGAACAATCTAGGATTTGAAGGGAGCTGTGTGGCTAAGTTTCTTGGCAGGTTTTCTTTTCAGCCTTTGAAAGAAAATCCTCTTTTTGGCCCTTCTTCTAATACGTAAGTCGCATCTACCCATCTCTGAATTTGACGTTGTTCTTTTTTTATTTTAAACCGACTTTTTGGAGTCTTTGCGTTGGTTTGCATGAGCCTGGGATTTGGGGTTTCTGAGATTTTGTGTATTTATGCGTTATTTTGATGTTTTCTATTAGTTTAATAGGCTTGTAATATGTTAGCTATATATCTGCTGCAGTGAAATTGGATATCGGGAATTGGGTTGGAATTGAACTTTGGGATCCTTTTGCAGCCTTTAATTTCTAAGACCACCAACTCCAAAGGGACAATATTATACAGCCAAGTGCCAGAAGCAGATTGAATTAATAATAAAAATAACAAAAGAAAAGGGGGAGAAAAGAATGCTTGTCTGTTTTTTGCAATTATTTATGGATTCTGGCTTTTGTGTTTCTGAAACTGTTAGCCTTTTTGTCAATATCTTTTAAAAGTTGTTAATGTAGGAAGTTTTTCTTTGATGATTCAACTTCAGTCCAGTTGATCCTCTTATGGTAACATCTTCGGATCATGCTAGAGGGTTTATCAATCTGTGGTATATTATGATCCTGAATATGAGATGATGGATAATTATACTGGAAAACTGGAAATTTTGTATGATTTGGTTGATGCCCTTTAAACTTATAAGGTTTGTTCTTGCTTGTTGATTTGACTAGCATTCACAATTCTCAATACGGGGTTGTTAACAAAAACTACAGAAGTTTTCATTAGTTGGTTTTTGGAATGTCATGGTTTGCTTATGATTAGGAACCTCTTCTAGCTTATAGCAGTTGAGCATGGATGGTATTTTTGTTTATACCTTGGGGGTTCTGGATTTTGATTGGACGTCTTGCTCTTTTTTCAGCTAGTGGAAATCCTCTTGCTGCTTGCCTCAATCTTAGTAAATGAACAGAAGATATCATATTATTTCAGGATCAAGAAATTAATTCCTGTTCATCTTACTAGTTATAATTTCTAAACAATCTAAAAAGAATGTTTCACTTTGGTAAAATTATTACAGGAATGCATGTCTGGGAATCATTGACTGGGTAATGCATTTACTTGCTCAGTTCATTTAGGGAAGAATGATATTATTGGAGTTGAAGTAGGAAAAGACATGCGGTCTTAGTTGCAGGTCTTGATATTTGATTTTGAGGGGCCAATTAATACTATATTTTATTTTATTTTCATAGGACTTATTATCTATATATATATATATATTCTACACATCCCTTGTTCTTAATAAAAAATGTATAAAATTAAATTATGAAAAAAAAAATTTTAATTTAGAAGAGATCATTTAAATTCATTTAATATATATTTATATATATGCTAAAGTTTGTCAAAACTTGGGAGGGCCAAAGCCTCCTCATGCTTCAACAACAGTCCACTAGGAGTTGTCAGAGCTTTTTTTTTTTTTGGGGGGGGGGGGGGGGGAGGGGAAGGTCCCCTTATGCATCAACGATGGTCCACCTCTGAGTGGTCTTAATCACTGTAATAGAGAGGCAGCTTTACTTTTGTTTTTGGGTTTAGGGTATTTTCATTCAATAAGTTTATGTGCATAGTTTTCAGTTCACTGGATTGAGGAGAGTAATTGTGAACTTGAATGTGTTACATGGTATCTTTCTTGTTCTCTTCTTTATCTATCTCTAGCAACCTTTTTTTATTGGCACATGCCATTGGTGATAATTATAACTCTTGTAATTTTCTAATATTCCTTCTCATTCTTCTTCAGATTGGAAAAATTGGGAGCACTAGAGTGGAACAAGGTAGTGCATGGCAATCAAGGATGGAGGCTTATCAGTTGCATCTGGCTGCATGCAGGTGTTATTCATCTGCTTGTAAACATGTTGAGCTTGGTCTTTATTGGAATACGCCTTGAACAGCAATTTGGATTTGGTATGTTATCTGTCCTTTTTTTAATGCTTAATTTATTGTTCCAAATTTTCCCCTAGGGTGATTTTTGTGTCATAATATGTTTTGGAATATGTAAATTATTGAAGTGTTGGGTTAGTCTTGATTAGTCAACAAAATGAAATACCATATAAATATGTCTTACAGATAATCTATTGATTGCATCACTGGTGTTATAGCTGACATGCGTTCTTTGCTCTGGCAGTGCATGTTGGGCTTATCTATCTGTTGTCTGGTTTTGGTGGAAGCATACTATCTTCTCTTTTCATTCAGCATAATATTTCTGTTGGTGCCTCTGGTGCTTTATTTGGCCTTCTCGGTGCTATGTTATCGGAGCTTTTGACTAACTGGACTATCTATACAAATAAGGTATGTTACTTGCCCTTGGTTTCTATCTTCTTAGAAATATATATTCAATACACAATTAGAAACTAGTAATTGCCTTGATGCCTGGAGCTTTAGGCAAGTGGATATTAGTACTTATGATCCAAAGATCAACAATGCTATTTAAGGAAAAAAATGGAAGGAGAATGGTGATAATTGGTGATTGTGGTTTTGTCACTATATTGATGTTTATCGTGGTTGTATTATTTAAGGATTTATTTAAGAGCTTTTTATTTGTGGCTTGAAAAGTAATCAAGGGGATTAATTTTTTGTATTGCAGGCTGCAGCTCTGATCACACTTGTGGTCATTATTGCCATTAACTTAGCAATAGGCATTCTTCCTCATGTTGACAACTTTGCACATATTGGAGGTTTCTTGACCGGCTTTCTCCTTGGGTTCATTTTGCTACTTCGTCCCCAATTTGGGTGGGTGGGACGCCAGCAACCTCATGCTGCTGCTCATATAAAATCTAAGCACAAGGCATACCAATATGTTTTCTGCGTGATTGCTGTGGTTTTACTGATTGCTGGGTAAGTTCTAAACCCCATGTTTTAATTTAACTTTTGCCTGTCGTCAGTCAACAAAAACAAATTTGCTTGCCTTATTGAAACTAAATTTGCCATAGATGGTTCTTGTAGTTACTTGTGTTTAATAGTTACCCAAGGTTTATAGTTCACAGAGATGATTTCATCCTAGCGAAAAGAAAGATTAATCGCCATTTTTCTTTTTGAATGATGCAGTTTCACAGTGGGGTTGGTAATGCTGTTTAGAGGAGAGAACGGAAACGACCATTGCAGCTGGTGCCATTACCTGAACTGTGTGCCAACATCCAAATGGAGCTGTGAAAACTAATGGAACATTACAATTACAACCACTGCTATACCTAGACTTCATCTATCCCACTGATACTTTCCTGATTCCCTTTTTTATATTTTCTTCATTTGTTAATTTCTTGGAGTTAGTATTTGCATGTTTATATGTATAGTTTGACTTTTGAGATTATCTTTGGGCATCAGGAAATTCATTGTTATTATATGGTTGACATTTTATACATGATATATAATATGTTCTGATTGTATGCAATATTACTTGGAAAAGTACAGATAAATGGATTTCTTCCTCTTTTTTTTTTCCTATAGTTGCAGCCCAAATTGTTTTTTTTTTCCAATTTTGTGAGATGAGATCCATATATCTGTTCTATTTGCATGAACTAGGCATAATCTTTACAAGTCAATGAGCTTCTGATGAAAAGGGTTATCCAGTTTTAGGTTGAGATAGTCAGCTGTTTTATGACATAGATGTTAGGGTCCAAGTGCAATTCTGAAAACCTTTTCTTTTAAAGTAACCATGGAAGACCATAGAAAATCACTGGGAAAATGGGAAACAACCATCGCCATTTGCCAATGCTTCAACTGGAGACTTTCATTATGATAACCGACAACATCACGATAATAGCAGCTGACGGCTGCGTTATTGCCTTTTACAACAAAATCTGTAATGTATCTTCAAAAATCTTCATTTTCCACAGTCAATCTGTTATGTGCCTCTGAGCAACCCACTGCTCTGATTGAAATGGCCACGTGGCACCTACAGGAATACATTACACTTTTAGTAATCCAATTCTTATTTATTTCCAGACCAGGGTGCATGCTCCTCGATAGCGACATTTCAATGCAAGATGTTAGTGTTTTTCTTTGACTTCTGCATGCGTGCGATTCTTTATTTCCGTAACCTGACTGGGATTTTGGGTCAGCTCAGTACACTGCACATCCACCGACATCATCTTCCTGTACATAAAGCTTTTCTGTTTATGTAATCTAAGTGGGGAATCTTGAAAAACCCTGGCTACTTTATAAATTCCATCGTTTATTTGTAGCATTTACCTTTTTCTTTTATCCACATGATGAAAGGCACAAAGCCACAAAAGCTTTTACAACTATATCAGTTCAGAACTCAATACTTGTGCTTGTATCATTATATTTATTTATTATATATATATATATTTATAAATTTGAAAGTCGAGTTTTGAGAGTTAAAAAGAAACATTATTTATAGAATATTTATATTTATTAAAATTTTAACATTTTAAGGTTGCCAAAAGCGATTATGAAAATGGGAAGCAAGATCTAATTATCATGTTAACGAGTAGGGTTTCAAATAATGGTTGTACAGCGGTATTGCAGCCGTTATTTCACTGTCTCGGTAGTTTTCACCATCGCTACATATCCCAAATTAGATTGTGAATGAAATTCACAATCATAACAGTTGCGAGCAACCGTTATAGCCGATCAATCTCGACCGGATGGGGTGCTTCTTAGCTCTAATAGGTAGGTCATTTTTTTCGTTCTGGATTTTAGAGAGATTTTGGCATGACCTCGTAGAAAAGCTCGGGCTTCCCTTTTCATTTTTTCTTGTTTCCTAAAAAGGGAAGCTGTGCCCAGTGTGAAGCTTGTTCGTTCTTTTCTTTTTTTGTCGAGTCAAGGAGAATCGCTTGGTTGAGTTCTTTGCTTGCTTATTCCACTTATTTCGGTGGAAGGACAATGAGTTCGTCTTCTTTATTGTTGTTTTATAGGGCGTTATAGTCGCGATCATCATTTTCAGTTCAAAATGGAATTCGAAAACTTATTGTTTTTCAATAATTAAATAATTTCATATAAAAAATTACATTCTAAACAAGAAAAATCTTTAAATTTATGATTCAATCAGCAAATACAAACTTTAATCAAGCTCAAAGAACATGTTGTTAAAGTCAATCAATAACAATTTCAGACCTTGAGAGTCGAGAAAAAGCAAAATATTTTTTAACTACCAAGATGAAAAAATGAAAGGCTTGGGTTCAATAGTAGCATCGCCGATGGCTTGGGTTGAGGAAAAAGACAAAGATAATGTGGATGGAACTTGAAAGAGGTTAGAAGATAGAGGAAGCATGGGATATGACTGCCGATTTTTAGAGAAACATAGTGAGTAACAGAAATGTGATACAAAAAGATTTAATCATTAAATTTAAAGAATATACAGATGTGAAAAATGTTTGGTGGGTTTAGGTTCAGCTGAACCAAACTAACCAATTATAGTATTTTTATTTTCTTAATTTAAAATTTAGGTATGTGTGATATTTAAAAGTACATTGTATTTTGCTTCTTTTTTTTTATTTAAGTGAAAATATGGAAAGGAAAAAATAAATGATTTGGTGAGAAATTGGATATTTTAGAAAATTATTTTGTTGATTTTGATGAAAATTTAAGGGGGAATGTGAGCTATTAATTAATAAATTTATTTTTATTTACCATCATTTTAAAGTAATTAGTAGTTTTTTAAATAATTTTAATATTATTAATGTTATTGTTAATTGTATATTTTTATTAGTTAACAAAGATTAGTTTGCTACTATTATATTATTTTGGTTTAATTTAGTTATTTAAAATGTTGCACTTGAAAAATTGATCTAATAATAAAGTATATTTATATATAGTCAATCAGATAGTTTATCATCTTCCCCCAATAAACATATATTACAAAAATATCTAAAATATTCATCACTAATTTTTTAATTAAATTAATTATAATCTTTATTAACTTCATATAAGATATACTTTTTCCATCATATGTATTCATAATATTTATGTCTTTGAACTTCATGCGTATAATAAAAAAAAATATTTATAATATGCATTTTCGTTCTGAATTATAACTACAAAGCATGAAAAAATTATTTTAATTTATAAATAAAAATTAAAATATCATAAATTATTTTAAAAATTATAAGTACTAATTATTATTATTATAATTATAATTACGATATTTTATAGTAAATTGTGAAAAATTAAAAAAATTCACGATTTTGATGATCATAATGATTTTCGTTATATACGTAATCACAACAAATGCGACACGACCGAAAACATGTCTGTGACCATAATTTGAATCCCTAAATGGAAGTATTCAAGACTTGACCTTTTGAGGTTTGCCAGCATGCAAAAACTGGCATAAAACAGGAATGAATCACCTTAATCACTTTCAATTCAAAGATAAAAAGGATAAAATAGGCCAAATTATGATTAAATTAACCCCATATCATCTTTTCAGATGTTCACTTCATGTAAAGCATTGTTTAAGTACCTATTCTTTGGAAGAAGTCACATGCACTAAAACAGAGATAGTTACAGAGTAATAAAACAAGGTCGGAGTCCTCATCAATATTAAACCTAAGCATGAACAACTAAACATTCCTAAAGCAATACTTGGGACATTTCTTGAAACCACTATTTATTTAGTATCTATAACCAACGGGCATTCCTAGCCTGTTCAAGAGATCTGACCCTGGGTAAGCTTTGCTCGGGAAGTTTGCATGCAAGCCGAAATCATAAATGGAATACCTCTTTGTGGAACTAGATTTCTCATACGGGGCCTTTGCTTTGGAGCACTGAGAGACCTCAGCTTAGCCCTTGAAGACTCAGTGTAAGCCATGTAATTTGGGTGGTCTGAGTAACTACTTAGATAGCTTCTTGATCCATCACTCTTGGCAGTACAACTATCCTCTTTTGATGATGCAGAATAGAATTGCGAACCATTATATGCATTGCTGAAAGGGCTTTCCTCAGCCTTATTAGAGAACTTCAATGGACTTAGAGACTGAACTTCACCGGATGAAGGACTGGGAGCTGTTTGGTGTGAGTCTCTAGAATTCGTGAAACTACAATTATATAGATCAGAATTTGAAGCAAGATGTGTAGACTGAAACAGGTTTCTGCCTTTAGAGGTGAAATGGGGTTTCCCGACGTCAACCTTAAGAATTTTATCATTCTTTTCATCATCCATGAGACCAATTCTTGTTGAATGCACTCGTTGGTCCCATGATTGTTCATTAATCCGATGCTCTGACCGATTCCAACCAGGGTGTAATTTTTCATGACTATCAAGAGTCCTTCCACTCGACTTCGATCCATTTCCCTGAAAATTTTGAGTATACGTTAATTAACCACAACTATTCAATGCCAAATGGTACTATAAAGTTCTTTTTTGGAAAGTTCAAACAGATGCCAAGACCATACCTTCAGCATTGATGATTGTTCATATTTTTTACTCTTAGATAGAATATCATGTACAAATTTTTCTGGGGTTGGTGGACATTGTTTATAAAAGAGATTTCATGGTCATAGACAATTACAAAACAGACAAGTTGATATCAATCTAATATACAAGGAAACTGTGACCATGTAATAAATCCAAACAACCTTCGTCATCTTAAAAAAAAATGAGAGGAATCTACATAATAAGCTCATCAAATTCCCTTTCAGCAATAAGTTTCGAGATCGTACCACTTAAAGATATGCAGTTTATAATCAGTGGCTGGCAATATACCTCGATAAATGACTTAATTAGTGGCTGTCATTTGGTCAGCAACTCAATACATCTCTTAATATTGGCAACAACATTGCCACCAATTTGTTTTAATGCCCTCAATGACCATGTTTTTCAATTTAAATTTATGATATATATGATTGGGTACATTGATGAATAACAACTACTTATCATAACAATTTCTACAAAATTGACTTCACTTAAAAACCATAAATTCATGCATGTCCTTTAAAATTTATCTACAGGCAGGCATAGAAGCCCGCAGTCCATGAAGCAGGTGTGCTTGGCAAAAAATTTCCATAAGAAATTTTCAAAAAAACACAGGAGGTAGGGAAGAACAATTCTGACTTACCGGCTGGTGAAAGTGAGAAAATTTGCTGCTTGATTGTGAAGACTCGGAAATTTGGGCCCGCCCAGCACGAGCACGTACTTGTGCTCGCAATAATGCTTGCATCCTTCTTAGCCGTTCTGCAGTTCTCTTCCTCTCTATATGACCTCTAACCAATGCCTGAAGCTTCACTAATCCTTTTAGCGCTCGCAATGCCCTTCTTGCCTGTAAATGTACATAAAAAAAGGTATAACCACTTAATCAGGCAAGCACATAAGGCCTTAAAAGCAATCAAGCTCATTTGACAAAACATCTTAGAGTCATTACTTATTGTGATCACGTTATTAACATATCAAACTATTGGGTAAATTTCTCTATTTTCTATCAAGTAAAGAGCTTTATGTTAATGACTTCGGGCGCAGAACAGCTAAAAGCAGCTGAAAAGGCAAAGAACCATCTGCTTAGGAATATAGGGCAATTACAAAGACATAGCAGCCAAGGTTCAAAAGACTAGGTACCACATTAAATTCATTTATTGAACTACTTAAACATGTACGGACATTTTAAAAATCTGCCTACAGGCAAATGCAGAAAACAAGTAAATATAACATGAAATTTTAAGGTAGCAGGCGCCATCAAGATGATAGATAGCCATAGTATAGCAGTAGTAGTAGAATTTTTCCAAAAAAATTTAAAAGCTGACACTAAATGAAAGGGAAATGGACTTCCAACCAGCCGCCCTACCCCCAAGTAAAAGCATTCCCCACAAGGCTCTGACCCAACGAATTAACGCCAAGCTTTGTATCATCTCCAAAAAGTCATACAAAGGCAGTTAAGGAAACACATATATTAACCTCAGAACAAACTTTTTCCAGTGTTTTGGACCCACCACTTTCAGAAGAATCCCATAATTTCCACTGTCCTGGAGATTCAACCAAGATTATACTTGGACCCAGGGCATCCGTTTCTCAGAAAAGTTCCATCCATTCAAAGTCTTCTGATCAGAAAATGCTGACAATCGGGTTGATTCTAAATTTGGTAAGCCAATAATTTATTCCATTATATTGACCAATGGCCATGGCAAAAGTGTCAAGCTTTCATTGCAATAATCCACAACATTCATCAATAAACCAACTAATCCACATGAATTAACAGTTAACACCTATAATTAGGTAATTCACTTAACGCACTACAGTTATAGTGCTACTACACAATAAATGATTACCTAAATAACCCAACAAATAGAATCAAATTACTCAATCACTCCGAACTTCAGAAACTACATTATGCCCCCATTAAATGTTTGAAAACGCCATGACCACAGAAATAGACGAGGAAATTTCTGAAGTAGAAGTTTGCAGATGGTTTTGTCCGAGATACAACGGGGCTTTTTTCGGGGGAGGGGTGCGCATTGTGCAAGCCGGTGCATCGTAACGACGTGTCTGTTTTATAGCTTGGTCGGTAGGTTCTTTAGCTTCCACTTGATGGGGAGGAAGGACGAAGTACAAAACGATATCGTTCTTGTAATTTGGCGAATCTGGTAGATAACTAAATTCAGTAATGGGAACAAAACAGTTCTTAGCTTTGCTTCCTATACTTTTTTGTGCTTTTTCATTTTTCATTGCATTGAGAAAAAAAAAAAGAAACAGGGAAAATGTTTTCTCAAGAAAAAAAAATCAGATTCAACGAGTTCCACGCCTCGGAATAGGGAGAGCCGGGACTCGGGCGACTAAAATGAGGCGAAGGACACGTGTCAGACATTCAACTGATTGTTATTTGTGAATCCCGGAAAATGTTTCAGCAAAATCAATAGTGAGAAAAAAAAAAAAAAACGAGTCGTAATTAAGAAGAAAAATAAATAGAATGAACAAATTCGGAAAATAAAAACTAACCAGATATCCACGAAATGCAGATTGTATCTTAACCGCAGCAAACTCCACCCGTGATCCGCAGCTGCTGCTAACGTGAGCTGCCGGTTCATAAGCGCATCCGCCACTGCTACTGATGAGCCTAACCACGGTCTCGGTAGCTTGAGCAGCAGCGACGGCCGCTTCGGCAACCGCGGCGGTAGCGGCAGCCACAGCGATGGCGTGCTTGTTAGAATCCACTACCTCACACCCTCTGTCAACATCAGAAACAGAGTCTTCCTGTTGCTGCTGATCACCGCAAAGCGATGACCACTTCGCATTATTGTTACCGCTGTTATTCATGGCGGACGAGTCCTTTTCACGGTAGGATTTGACGAAACTCCAACGGCATTTGTCTTTACGGGGTGGTTTAGAAGACGAATGTTGGTGATGGTCCCCGGTCCTTTTGTGGCCGAGGATATGGCGGAACCACTTTAAAGCTTTGCCCATTTTTTCGTTTGCCTTGTTTAACTTGGTTTAACGCTAGAAATTTAGTTGAAAGAAGAAACAAGTAATGGATTTGGGAAGTTTTTTGGGATGCATTTGCAGAGAAAGGGAGGGATAGTGAAATGGTTTGTATCTATCAACGCCATAATAATACGGCAAAATGTATGTTTATTTTATTATTCATTACTACAACTAAAATTCTATGAGTGAAAATAGTAAAATAATAGTTTCTTAAGAGTAAAATTTTTATTTAATAATTCGTTTAAATGTGCAAATCAATGTCATGAAAAGGTCAATTGCAACTTTCAATTCATTTAAGCAGATATATTTAATAAATTTGAATTTATATTTTAGTATATGTTATTTTTTATGTCTTATAAGTTTACATTAAATTAAATTCTTATTTGAATAAAAAAAGTTAATATCATTAATTTTTTATTAATTAGAATAAAATTACATGTGATATCAATAAAATCAATAAAAATTTATCACGTAATTTAATTAATATATATATAAATTAAATAAAATAATTATTTCTTCTTTTTTTTCATCCTTTTTATTTTTTTTTTATGTTCTTCTCTTTCTCATATCCTTTAAAAATTCAATTGATTATAGTTTAAGAACTGATTAATTAAATTTTATCATATGATTAGATTTTGCCCATTTAAAAATTTAATTGAATTGAAATAAAAGATTAAAAGCTTAATTAATTATAATAAAATATTAAAATCTTAAATAATTATTGAATTATAATTAAAGGATTTTTTTTACCCTTTAATCTAAAAAGAAATACATCATATTTAATTATTTTTGGCTTGGCATCTTATCTAAATCATACTCATGATCATGATCATATAATACATCATATATATATATATTCTTTTATAAGAAAACAATAAATAAATCAAAATTTTATTGATTAGATTTGTAAAAGAAAAGATTATGGAACTATTTAAACACTCATGCTTTAATTATATAAATAGAAAATGTCTTGAGTTTGCATTTTTTTAATGAATAGTTTAAAATGAAAATCTAATATAGATTGAGAAAATTAATAACATCTACTAAACTATAAATTAATCTATTTATAACTCACATGAAGTACAATACTAAAATTCTCCCATCTTAAATGGGAATCGGAAACCTAATAATTTATCAGCAAACATGCCCCAGCGTGGAAATTGTACTCTCAAAAGTCAAAAGTGCCGAAATCAATTTTGGATTTTTTTTCCTTTATTATAACCATTTAGGGTTGATAATTTAATCTAACCTAGTAAATTTGATCCGATCTAATTTTATAAAATTAATTTTTTTAAATTAAATTTTAGATTAGATGAAATAATATTAAAAAAGTTACGATTAAATTTTAAATAAACTTGATCTGATCCGATTCAATTCGACTCGTTATATATAAAATTTTTTATTTTTTAATTAATTAAATATATTTTATATATTTAATTTTATATTTATATTAAAAAATAATATTTTATTAATTTAATTGAATCATTTATATAATATTGACTCAAATTAAATTCAAATACGAAAAATAAAAAAAATTTTGAGTCAAATTAAAATCAAATTTTATATATATATAAAATTAGATCGTTTAAGACAAGTAAAAATTCTCCTCAACTCGATCCGTTCTAATCCTCTAGCCATTGCCTTTGGGCTACTTAATTAACTTCTCCAAACAAGGCCTTATATAAGAAGGCTCTGCCAAAGCCCACAAGCAAAATTTCCACAACAATTACCTCTTTCATATTTATTTTTTCTGTCTAAATTAACAAAAAAACCCTGAAATTGTAAGCTGCAAAAACATTAAATTAAAAAAGAAAACCCTAATTTTGCAATGGCAAGACCTAATCAAGAAGCAATTGAGACTTTCATCAGCATCACTGGGGCACCCGAAGCCGTTGCCATAGAAAAGCTTGAGGTAGTTTTTGGAAAATTTTTAATTATTATTATTTTTAGCTTGATTATCGAATTGGTTTCTGATTATGGGTTAATAAATGATCGGCTGGTTTCTTAATTTGTTAAAATTAGGGTTTGTATTGCTTTACATTGTTGATTTACTTGGCTGTTTATCGTTGGATTTGTTTGTTGAATATAACTGAAGTTTTATTGTTTGCAAATGGATTAGGATTTTAGTCAATGACTATAATCAATGGGTTATTTTAAGGTTTGAATGAATTATCCGAAAAGTTTTTTTAATTTTTTTTCTTTTTCAATTAGTTGTTCTATGAGTATGTAGCTTATATTAGTCAAATGAATTGGCTTTAAAAAAGAAAAAAGAAAGAAAATAATTGTTAACTGGACACTGTATGGGCGAAAATATGAAGGAAAAAGAGGAGGTTGCAAATGTTTCGTATTTGGAGTTGTGTTCTTATCATGGTATAGGAAAAATGTTTGCAATTTTGATCAGTGATAATGCCCAAGTTTTTGTGAACCTCCATTCCTTAGTCATGCTCTTATACAGGAACATAGAATATAAACACGTGGCAACTAACATGGAGAGATGCCATTGAACGTGGTTAGTGAGGTGCCATTGAAAGTGGTTAGTAATTTAAAAGTCTTGAAGCTCGTGTGTGCGTGTGTGTATGTGTGTGTGTGTGTGTGTGTGTGTGTCTTTGGTAATTTGTTTGCATTTAGACTCTTGAGTGACTCCTCATTTACGGTGATGGTTGAATTGAGGTTTAATTCTAACTAGAAGACTCTGATGTTCATAGGCATCCTTCATTTTGTTGTTTGATTAGGTTTTTTTGTAGGTTTTTATGAAGACAATTGCTCGATGATGAGATTGTTGGAAAATGGCACTTATCATGATCAAATTAACTTTTTGTTGAGTTGAATTTTCTTAGAGTTAATTTGGATTCTTTGCACCTGTTCATAAAATCAAGTTAGATATAACATCTCTCACTTATATGTTAATTATTTTTCTTGGAATCAGGAACATGGTGGCGATCTCAATGCAGCTGTAAATGCACATTTCAGTGATGGAGATAGGAACATGTTTGTCAATTATGTTATTCTCTTTTATGATTAGTAATTCTTGGTTTATAGCTTTATTTATTTTTTGTTCACAGTTCCAGCACAAGGCCAACATCAACCGTAGTTCCTGTAGATGATGCCATGGATATAGATGATCCAATTGAAGTTGTACCAAATAGGCCAGTCCTTCCATTTCTCCCAGCATGTAGAACAATGAATCAATCCTCACTTCTTGATCCAACCTTTCATAGAAGTTTCTTTGATGGTGCTTCTGATTTTACAACTCGAGAACCATTGGTTACACATCCAAGAAAGGTGAGAGAGGTACCAATAGAGGTTAAGGATAGCAATGAGCCTTCTGGTCGTTCTGGTCATGCTCCTGCCATTGAGGATGTCTCTGAAACTGCACAAGCTATGGTCCAAATACCCATGAGACTGTTATAATTGATGAAGTGGATGAGGATTCAACTGAGCAGCCTAGACAGCAGAATGATAACTCTCATGACCAACAAGTTGCATCCAGTGCTCCTGCCATCAATAATTTGCCAGACTATGGCAATGACATTGAAGAAGAAATGATTCGAGCTGCCATTGAGGCCTCCACACGGGATGTTGAGGTAAGTTTTAACAAAAAGGTGATTCCAGTATGATTCTGTTGTGGTGCACTTCCTTCTTGTAGTTGTTGTAAATGTTTACTTTACAGATTGCCTTTTCATGTCTGTTCAGGAGTTAAGTGATCCTGGGCCTAGGCATAATCAGTCTCATTCAGAGGATGCTGAACTTGCTGAAGCAGTTTCATTGTCCTTGAAGGTTTGTTGTGCTATACTTTGTTCAGATTGTGTTTTCCTACAGTAATCTCTTAGTTGTTGAGGCTAGCCCACCATCAGGTCCAAGACAGCAAGGCATAAATAATCTCCCATTGAACAATGGAAATGCCTTCCCTTCTGATGAGGTTTAATCCTTTCATAATTAACGCAGATTTCAAATGAGAACTTAAATATACATTCTATTCCATATATTTATGTTCTTTACTAAAATAAATTTTTGCTTGTGCTTTCTACTAAATCTTAGTGGGGAGGCGTCTGTTCTGAGGAACATGATGAGGCAATCATGCTTGAGGCTGCAATGTTCGGTGGAATCCCTGAAAGTGGATATCGTTTTGCATATTCACCTCATCAGTTTATTCGACCTGAGATTTCCAACCCCTGGCATACCCCTTGTCCTCCATCACCTTCTTTGACAGCTCAACGCTTGATACGGGAGCAGCAAGTTAGTTTTTTTTGTGCTCTGACTGAAAGTTATAGATTTCAAAATTTGGGCCAGAAGTATTTGTCTGACGGTTGCCTGCTTACATGATGTATTCAGGACAATGAGTATAATGCATCATTGCAAGCTGACAGAGAAAAAGAGTTGAAGGCATTTCAAGAAGCTGAAGCCTACCATTTAGAGGAGGAAAAAGCTAGAAAAGCTGCTCTTGAAGAAGAACAACGAAAAGAGGAAACGTTTCGCAGGAAAATAGAGGAGGAACAGGTAATTATTATTAGTTATGTTCTGATCATCGGTAAACCAGGGTCAGTCCATTTATTACTGAAAATGATAAATTCTATCTCGTATATTGATTTTCTGAGATAAAGGATGAGATTCTAGCAATAAGTCAAAGGTAATTTATTATCTAGATGTTTGCTTTTAAGTTTATATGGGATGTTTAAGATTTTACTAGTAAATTTGTATTAGAAGCAAAACAAACTTGCAAAAATCTTAGAACAGCTATTGTCCTTGTCATTATTTCAAGTCATCCTGTGGATGTCTTACTGGAGATGATATAAATTCATTTTATTATTCAGATAATTTAGGTTCTCTCTACTAGGAAAAAAAAAAGTATTCATCTGTTGCGTTTCTATGCAATCAACACACGATCATGCTATTCTACTCCATTTATGCTTTGTGAATTATTTCACTCACTGTAGATGTATGGTTTTTTTTGGTTCTGAATTGCATCATCTGTGGTTCTTACTTGCAGGAATGTGAGAGACAATTAGCTTCAAAAGAAGCTTCTCTGCGTAAGGAGCCAGCAGCCGATGAGGAAAATGCTTTAACCCTTCTAGTGTGAATGCCAGATGGCAGTCGCAGGGGCCGTCGATTTCTCAAGTCTGACAGGCTGCAGGTAAATTTGTGAAGAAGAGTTTATTTCTGTTGCTTTTCCTTGTGCAGTCTTAATACTCAACCTGATTTAGGTTTGGTTTGCAGTCTCTGTTTGACTTCATAGATATTGGTAGAGGAGTCAAGCCGGCCACTTATAGATTGGTAAATTTTTCATCCCAAGCTTTTTGCCAAGTCCCATGTTGTTATTGGCTTCCTATCATTCTAGATAGATTCATGATTTTATTTTTCACTATTTGAGGACAACATTAACTACTGGCCTTCCTGCAAGGAATATTTGCAATGTTAATGTTATCATTTCAACAGGTGAGGCCATACCCGAGGCGTGATTTCAGTGATGGAGAGAGCAGTTTGATGCTGAATGAACTCGGCTTAACAAGCAAACAAGAAGCCCTATTTCTGGAGTTGATATAATATCATCAACTCCTACAGGAATATTATAGAAAATTACTCGAGCATTTTAGTCTATTGAAATATGAAGAAATGCATTGAAGTTATGGAATTTCTTAAAGGGTTTGTGTTTGGTTGAAACACATGAAATTTCAGAAGAGGATCAGGATACAACTAATATGACTCAATGTTCAGTATTTTACTTTTGGTAGTGGTGTTCAATTGATTGAAGTGAATATTTTGTATATATGTAGTGATTTATGATATTGAAAAGGTCAGATTACTTGTCATGAAGCAGATTAAATCATGTGCTCTCTTTCTGCCTTCATCAGTTGTCTGCTAGTTGGAAAACATTGTTTTGAGCTCAACCGTTGAAACATGCTTTAACAGCCATGTGGGTTCAGAATTTACTTTGTCAAGGCCATATTTTTATTAGTGTTTTATGATTCGTTGCATGTCTCTTTTTCACCCTCTTTTACTGGGGTGATTTACCCAGCTGTTTGGCTGTGTGATTCGCCTTTTTCTTTTCCTTTTTTTTTTTGTACTTTTCCAAATTTTCTTTTAACCTGTCTGGCTGTCTCTACTTTTCCAGATCCTTCGAGTATTTGTGTGTCTTTTACCAAGCAAACGTCAGAATAAAGGTTCCTGCACTTGTCAACCTCACCCAACTAATCGAATTGACCAGAATGACCCTACCCGTGTCCAGCGTGGCAGAATGTTATTGGTTACATAATAGACAAAAAAAAACCCACCAACCTTGACCAACATAAGCCAGTCAAAGTTCACTGACGTAAATAAACAGGAGTGAAAAGACGAAAACGCTGAAAATTTTTTTTGATAGTTTATTATATTTAAATTTAATAAACGAATAAAAATTAAATTTATTTATAAATTACTTGCTTATTTTTTTCGTTATTTTTTAATTTATTCATTTAATTAATAATTTAAAAATAAAGATTAAAAAAATTAAACTGTTCATTCATCGTAAAACTCTCTAATGGCTGCTGATCGTGCACCACGTGTTTTCAATTATCTTAACATTGACAGGTTTAAGGAAGTTAAAAGATGGTAATTTCCATAAGAGGACAAAACAAAAAGTGGAAAAACACAACAGAAAAATAATTGTGCTGTGACCCAACGGTCAAGTGAACGGGAATCAGGAGACAATCACGTGCATGCCACGTGAACTTCAACACTCTCCCCAAAAGAGATTTTTCTGCAAAAAAAAAATCCCTAAAGAATTCACATTCCGTACACCAACTCCCCCTCTAACGGTCATATTTCACCGACAACACTCCAACGGTCACAAAGACTATTATTCTCCATCGTCAGATCTGAAAATCCAACGGTTAGAAAAAACGAAACTTCCTTAGTCTTCTCGAACTGTCCCTTTTTTCTATCAAATGAATCCCAGTAACCCAAAAAAAGAAAAAATTAAAAAGAAAAGGAAAGCAATGATCGAGACGTGAAGGTGAAAGTGGTAGTAGTAAGCTGTGTAGAGTAGTATTCGATAGCAGTAGCAGTAGTAGAGAGAGTTAAAGATGAGCATGAACCAAGAAACATTGTAAAAGCTTTAGCTTTACTAGTATATAAAAACACAAACCTTTTCTGGTTTATGGTTTTTTTGGGTTGTGAGCTTTGAGAGATTTTTCATTGTTGCTTGGTCGTTTTTCAGTTTGTTTTCATGCATGTTTAGTTGGTTTTCAAAGCTGGGGTTTTTGAGTTTGGTTTCTGCTTCAGCTACCATGGAGTCGTTGGAAACCTCAAAAGGTGAGATGGGCATCAAAGTTTTTCAGGATTTGCAGTTCAGGTTTGAAAATGTAGGCGTTTTTGTCTCCAATATTGATGTTTTTTACACTGTTGATTATAGCCTTTTGGAATGAGTTGTTTGTGAAGGTTTGGGAATCCGATGATCGTTTTCTGGTAGATGTTTTAATTAGTTTAGTCCTTAACAATTCTTTGATTCTTTCTAGGGTGTTTCTTTTTTTTTTTTTTGCATTTTCTAATTAATACTTCATTGCATACACAGACGTTGTTCATATAGGAACACCTGAATAAAAAAAAGTTTCCATTTTCAATATTCTTTGATTTGTTTCTGTATTTTTCATCGGATTCCTTTTTATTTTATTTCTTTTGGTTTCTGGAAAATTCACACACTCACTTAGAATTTGTCTATCTCTCTAGATTTGATTTTTTCCAAGTATACTTGCAAAGTTTCATATGAACACATAGGACGTCATACATAAAAAAGAGAAAAAGAAAATTCATACATTGCATATTTTCAAAACTTATAGAAACAAAGAGAGATAGGGAAGAAATAGAGAAAAAAAACTGGGGGAGGGTGAATTGAAAAGAAAAATAAAAAAGAAAATAGGAAGGTTGTAGAGAAATGTTGGCTGGGTGTTCTAGTTCTACATTGCTGTCACCAAGGCATAGATTGAGGAGTGAAGCATCTGCACAGTTTCAAGCTTGTCATTTCCAGACTTCAATGAGCACACAAAGATTGGACTTGCCATGTAGTTTCTCTCGTAAGGACACTTCAAGGTCACAGCCTATTAGGCCTGTTGGCCTTTCCGTGGAGAAACCAACTGAATCCAAGACCAGCGGTTGCTCTCTCAAGCAGAATATCCGGCTGCCGCCATTGACGACTACTAGACAAAATCCATTTGAAGGAAGGAGAGAGATCAAGGATGAGTTTTGGAAGAAAGGTACAAGTTTGAAGAGGTTTGCTGAGCAAGGTTTAATTGATGAGTCAGTCATTAACAGGGCAAAGAGGAAAAAGGGTAGCAGTGATAATGAGATTTCTGGTCATATTCATGAATGTGGTGGTGATAATTTGGGTTTAGCCCAACTAGGTGCTGGAAATTTTTGGTTCCAACAAAGTTTCGCAGGACAAAATGCTCCTCAAGTTCCTTTTTCTCTGACTTGTTCAGGGGATGAAGAAAGGGTGTATTTTGTGCCTGGTGAAGTGATTTCACCGCCTTTGCCATTGTCAAACAATCCTTGGATCGAATCGGTAATAACTGAGATCACTGATGTCGGGGAAAAGGATGTTGAGACAATCCATAGGCCGGCAAAGGAAGCTTCAGGATCGAGCACTTCTTCAGAGAATCATAGCTTGGGACTTCGGTTAAATGAACAAGCCGCAGAATATGAAGCAGGTAATGGTTCTGGGAATCCTTACCCGCATGAGTATGCTGGTTTGGGGGCTTATGAGGAGGGGAACAGCCACGGGGAGCATCAGGGGTTTGAGCTTGTCCACTTACTTACAGCTTGTGTTGAAGCAATTGGATCAAAGAACATTGCTGCCATCAACCATTTTATAGCGAAGTTGGGGGATCTAGCTTCTCCAAGGGAAAGTGCTATAAGTCGTCTAGCTGCTTATTATACTGAAGCTTTGGCTCTTCGAGTCACAAGGCTTTGGCCTCGTATTTTTCAGATCACAACTCCTCGAGAGCTTGATCGGGCGGATGATGACAATGGTACTGCGTTGAGGCTCCTGAATCAGATTAGCCCAATTCCAAAATTTGTTCATTTCACATCAAATGAGATATTGTTAAGAGCCTTCGAGGGGAAAGACAGGGTTCACATCATAGATTTTGACATCAAGCAAGGGCTTCAGTGGCCTAGTTTGTTCCAGAGTTTAGCTTCAAGGACTAATCCACCAAGTCATGTTAGAGTTACTGGAATTGGTGAGTCCAAGCAACAACTGAATGAAACAGGAGACAGGCTCGCAGGCTTTGCAGAGGCATTGAATTTGCCATTTGAGTTTCACCCAGTTGTGGACAGGTTAGAAGATGTGAGGTTGTGGATGCTTCATGTAAAGGAGAACGAGAGTGTAGCTGTAAATTGTGTGTTTCAACTGCACAAGACACTTTATGATGGAAACGGAGGAGCACTCAGAGACTTTTTGGGAGTTATTCGTAGCACAAACCCTACTGTTGTCATCATGGCAGAGCAAGAAGCCGAGCATAATGTCCTCAGCTTAGAAGCAAGAGTTACCAACTCACTGAGATACTACTCTGCCTTATTTGACTCAGTTGATTCTAGGCTTCCCTTGGACAGCCCGGTTAGGATCAAAATAGAGGAGATGTTTGCACGGGAAATCAAGAATATAATTGCTTGTGAAGGAAGCGACAGGTTTGAAAGGCATGAGAGTTTTGAGACGTGGAGGAAGTTGTTGGAGCATGGAGGGTTCAGATGCATGGGGATTAGTGAGAGGGAACTGCTTCAGAGCCAAATGCTGTTGAAGATGTACTCTTGTGAGAACTACAGTGTCAAGAAGCAAGGGCAGGATGGTTCAGCGCTTACTCTAATTTGGTTAGATCAGCCACTTTATTCAGTCTCAGCTTGGACACCTATTGATGTTGCAGGCAGCTCATCCTCATTTTCTCAGCCTAGTTGATTGTTTCACATTACTTTTTCTTACATACATACCATCTCTTTTGATGCATACAGAAAGGAACACACAATTCGTTGTAGGTAGAGAAATCTGTCATTATTCTTTCATTCTTTTCTTGCAGATAAGATTGGTCAGTCTAGCGCCAGTACCATTTGTATGAATACAGTAGCTGCATACTAGTCAGTTCTTTCCAGGACAGATTTTAAGATTTCGGTCTGTAGTATTGGAGTCAATCAATTTGGTGTTTATTCTTTGATTCTTTTTGTATCATGAAATTCTTTATAGCTGTCATTTCATCTTGTTCATTTCTTTAATTTGTTGAAGAATGTAGTTGGACATGTATCATCATCATATATAAAAGGGATTTCGTTTGTGTTCATTCTTCATTCTACATTTCTACTTCGATATAGAGTTAATGGAATCTGGAAAAACCAGATACGTAACTTCAATGACGCCCCATTGTCTTCTTTCTCACCATCACAGTTTGTATTTATCAAACAAAACTTTGCCTTTTTAACATAATTTTTGTTTTCAAGATACAAATGAAACTGCTAATATCTGTATCAAATATTGATTAATTATGATGATATTTTTACAATTTTGGTCCACCGAAAATTTTCAGTGAAAGTGTTGTCTTTTCATGTCTTTTTCTTTATCATCCTCGTACCATTTGCATGTGCCCATTTTATCATTTGGTTCAATTGTACTACAGCTCATGTCACAGACGTGTAAATGACTCGAAATTACTTGGATTTCACAGGCAAGTAACTCCTCAATTACTGATCTAATATAACCAAGTTCAGGAAAATCGAGTAGTAATTTGAGTCTAGTTTTAGTATAAGCTGATCAATGTTCAATTCAGAGCATTTCCATCGATAATCTCTTCACCTATCAAGATCATCCTGCTGGCAAGGACAGCTACATTTCATCAACCACCATTGAAGGCAAGGACCAAGCAAAGGTTGGTCTGAAATTTTGGGATCAAATCTTACGGGCCCAAATTAAGCTTTTTATCATAAGTCACCAAACAATTAAACAAACTTCAAACTCTCAATATCATACCAAGTTGCTCAAGAATGGTGCCTTATAATATAATAAAATAAAATTAATGCTAGAAACTATGAAACTATGAACTCTTATAATGTGCAAAATAGCGTAAGAATAAAAATATAAAGTTGGTGACGAACTCTAGTCTTGTTTTTTTGTTTCTTAGAAAAAAGGAATTGAATATTCTTATTGGGTTTTAAATTAAACACATACATTTTTTCAATTCATCTATCTTGAATTGGGTTTGAAACTTTAAAATAAAATATTTTTAGTCCTACAAATTAACGTGTTCATTAGATTGAAAGAAAAATTATTAATAATGAAAAATAAACAATTCCATTGGTATATATATTGGTAATTAGTAAAGATTTTCTTATTTCATATTTCGAGGTTAAATTTATATCCGATTTATAAATAGTATATTAAAGACAATTATTGATAAAAATTATTTTATTTTTAAATTCAAATTTAAATAGAATTTGAATTTACAAATTATCTAAAAAAAATTATTAATAACAAAAATCAAATTTAAATCTTACATACGAAATATTTGATTCTTATCAATTCAATCAATTCACAACGATAAATATTACAATATATTTAAGTTCTAATTACAAGATTCTCAAAACAAATGGAAATTCCTTGGGTAATAAAAGATACACAAAATTTTTATTATCAAAAGAAATAAAATCCTTTCATCCAAACATTAATCTATTATCAAATTAATATTTTTCATCTTATTGTGCAACTTGAAAACGACAAAATCGACCCACTAGTCCTCTCTTCTTCCTCTTAGCCAAATTGGGAGGCCATTTGCTGACCAATAGACATGTGTTTCCAAGGTGGCCATGCCCCATATTTAAGTGGTTGACATGTCGATATGCTGACTCAGATACACATCGACGTGGACGTACTTATTTGGTCCATTATTTTTCAGATTAGTATGAACTCAAATGGGAACGCCCCCACCACTTGTTTTTAATATTTTTTGGGGATGGATTCTTGAGAATTTATTGTTTAATTAGCTGACGATGGTCTTAGTACTAAAAGAATGAATTTTTAATGATTTTCCAAAGAGTTGGCAAAACCCATTATTGTCACGCGGTATACTTTTTAATTTGCTTAATTAAGAATGGTCCTAAAGAGAAAATTAAGTTGATATTGTTACCAAATAAAGAGGATATGGTTAAAATGGAGTGGGGCCCTGAATTATCCAGTTGAAATTTTGCATGCAAGTTTTTAATTTTTTTTTGTAATTTTTTTTAGATAAATATTACTAAATTATAGGTAATTTATTTAAAAATTGGTATTTATTATTTTATTATATATTTCATAAAAAAAATCATAATTCGAAGATATAAAAAAATTATAAATATTGTAATTTTAATTCAAATTTATTAAATGTTATTTAAAAAAATAATTATATTAATTAATTAAATTAAAATTTAAATCCGTTACCTCGGATAAAGGAGCATCTAGATTAAGGCAGAAATCTCTTGAAAGCAATCACCCTTATGAAAATATCAATAATAAAATATTACAAACATAAATTTTCTAAAATTGGTAATTTTTAAAAATCTAATTAGAGGTATTTTTTAAGAGATAATTAGATGTCATCTTAATTAATACTCAGCGGATAAATCAGGGTTAATCCTGTTAAACGAGACAAGCCATGCAAATATATAATAAACTTTTTTTTTTAATTTTAATTTTGTTTCAAGTATGTGTTAGTCTAATCCAAATCCGACATCCTTCCTTTATATACCTTCCAAATCAGGGTTCTCTCTGACTGTTTTCTCTCTTTTTTTCTCAGTAAACAAGCAGACAAAATGGAAACAAAAACAATCCCTCAAAATGGATTACGCGTCCGTGTTATAAAGTATCACCCCACTTCCCTTTGTCACCTCTCTTTCTTTCTCTCTCCTTCGCTCTTTTATGTATTATCAATACTCTGCTTTAGAACTTTCTAGTCGTCTGTTTTCTTTTTCATTTTTCTCTTGATGGGTGCCGGTTTCTCTGCTTTGTTCATCAGCCAAGAAGGTTTGTCATCTGTTTCTTCATCATCGCCCAGTTTGGGGGACTTACCTGAGAGCTGTGTGGCATCAATTATTGGGTATTTGGATCCTCCAGAGATATGTAAAGTGGCAAAGTTGAACAGAGCATTTAGAGGTGCTTCTTGGGCTGATTTTGTTTGGGAATCGAAATTGCCACCCAATTATCAAATTCTTGTTGATAAAATTCTAGGCGTTGTGCCTGAAAATTTGGGTAAGCGAGACATATATGCAAGGCTCTGTGGAGTTAATACTCTTGATGGTGGCGCCAAGGTATGGTTTTTTTAGTTCTGTTTTTGTTGTTTTTTGTTTTGATGCTGAGAAAAAATGGGATTTGAAATTCTGGGTTTTCGAAGACTCGAAATTTGACTGCTTTACATTTCCTCTGTGTATTTCACTCAGCAATCAATTAGATAATTTTCTTCAAGGGTTTGTTTGCAATTTCAAGTTCCTTTTTTTTTTTTTTAGTTCTGAATAATGTTTCTACTGAATGACCAAGTTGTTTAAAATTTTCCATGATTTGATGCACCTTTAATTGTTGAAAAGGAATTAATCATTTGGATATAGCAACCCTTAGTAAATAAGCTAATAGTGTCGTTAATTTAAATCGAGTTTTTCTTCTTTTCAGAAATGAAACAATCATAAATTCATAACCAACAAGATTTAAATCCTGGGGCTGGGTTTATTATATTTGTTGCTATCTTAACATTCATGGCTTGCCTGTCTTATTGATGGCTTGAGGATTTGGGTTCCTTTTGCAGAAAGTATGGCTAGATAAGAGCACAGGTGGTGTTTGCATGTCAATCTCTTCAAAAGGATTACAAATAACGGGGATTGATGATCGAAGATATTGGAATCATATTCCTACTTTGGAATCTAGGTGAGATACAAGAGCTTATCCTATTTTTTGTGTGTGCATGTTAAATTGAGGAGAATGAGAGGATTTTCAGTTTCTTATCATGAATTTTTTCGATTGGCTGATCAAAATCAAGAGTGTTCTGGGCATATCCTGCCAAATTGATCCAAAGTATGTTCTTTTTTGTTAATTTTTATTGTTAAATTTCAATGTGTTCAGTGGATCTCCATTTTTCAATGCATGATGATGATGATGCTATGATATGGCAGACGTATTCGGAAATTGTTTAAATGGGATTTGGTCTCTCTGCGTACCTGCAAGTTTTCCTCTTTAAAAGCTTGCCTCCTTATGAATAACAAAAACAATTCCTTGATGCTTACCACTTTTGACTTCTTCCCTGTTTTCTCATTCCCATGGTTCCAGTCGTCTGTGGTTAAACCAACCGTCTTTGACATTCAAATCTATATAATATTAAGTTGTGAAAACACTTAATGCATTATTTATATAAACTTGAGGATTTCTTCCACAACCAGTTACAGATCAGTTGCTATTCTCACAAAAAGAATCTTCCTCTTGTTTTTTTAAATCTATGTGTATTACATAATTGGATGGAAACGATAAAAAAAAAAAAAAGGGACTTCATTTTTATTGAGCTTCTTGTGGATATGATTTCTTTCAGTTGCCCAATGTGGTTCATAGAGCCGGCCACGCATAGGAGAAAACAGCTTAGTTTATTAGTGTTGTTATCACCCTGGCAATTCTTAGTAGTTTTGCAAAAATCATATGTGCATTTGTATATTGTCAGTATGCACGAGCATACAACGTTGATTTTTAACACAGTGTACAAGCTAAAGTCTAAGGATTACATATTTTACAAAATTCTGTTTGCATCATTTATGGCATATATAACACTAAGTATAAAGCTGTCTCTTATCCCTAATGATTTTATTTAAGTAATGCCTCACTGCTGGTTGACCTCGTGTTGAAATTCAATATTTTCATACATATTTCCTCTTCGATATTTTTGTAAGGATCAAGCTATTACTTGGTTGAAAGTGGGAATAGATGTTGTGCGAAAGTGCTGGTTGGTTAAATAAATAGATCTTTACCCCATTTGTTGAAATGGAATGCTGGATATTGATTTCAATTTCCTTTTCTTTGTGATTTAGGTTCTGTTCGATTGCATATCTTCAGCAAATATGGTGGTTTGAAGTTGAGGGGGAAGTGGAATTTCCCTTTCCGGCAGGATCCTACAGCGTTTTCTTCAGACTGCAGCTAGGTCGTGCCTCTAAGAGGTTTGGTCGCCGAATCTGCAATTCTGAGCATGTCCATGGTTGGGATATAAAACCAGTAAGGTTTCAGCTATGGACTTCGGATGGTCAATATGCCACATCTCAGTGTACTTTGAGTGATCCCGGAGAATGGTTTCATTACCATGTGGGGGACTTCAATGTCGAGAACTCGAATTCATCAACTAAGATTAAGTTATCTATGACTCAAATTGATTGCACCCATACAAAGGGTGGTCTCTGTTTAGACTCTGTTGTCATTTACCCTAGTAAATTCAGAGAAAGGTTAAAGCACGAAGGATTTTTAAAGTGCTAACTAAGCCCATGTAATTAGAAGTTTCTATTTTGTAGAGAGGTATACATATTCAATGAGAGTATAATCAAAGTTCTAGCTGGTTTTTTGAGGGTTAGAGACTTAAAAGGAGTCAAATTGTGTATAAATCATGTTTTCGCTTTAAGAAGATGGTATTTGTGTTTTAATGGAACACTTAGGGATGGAATTGAATCGAGTTGAGTTAATATAGTGAAAAGTTTGAATTTAATTTGGAATTTATTTTTTGAAATTTTGTTCAAGCAATCTAGTTTTAATTTTCAATTTCAAGTTCAATTCAAGAGAAAAATTGAGTTATTGAAATTTGTTCGATTATGTTTGTTTAATAAAAATAAGTTTTGATATTCATATTCAATTATGTGTTTGAAGTTGAGTTTAAATTGATATATATAAAAAAGTAAAATTATAATTGCTTAATTAAAAATTTTAATAGGTTTAATTAGATTCACAAATTATTTTATGTGGATATTAAAATTTTTCAATTCAGTTCGTTAATAAATTAAATTATTTGAGTTTGAATTTGATTTGATAATAATTGAATTAAATTTAAATTTTATTCAAATTAAATTTGAATAATTTATGAGTATTGATATATCATTTATAACTTTATTAACTAAACTGAATTGCTAGTAAATTTAGAGCCGTTTGTTTCCTCCATTTTTTTATACCAATTAGCTATTACCTCTAAATCCCTGGATATACTACGTAATTTTCCTGGAATTTGCCTTGTCATTTTCGGAGCTTCACTGGGTTTTAACAACAGATCGAACCACAATTGTTCAATTCCATAGATACGAAGGTGTCAGCCTACTGCAACTACTAAAACTTTCTAAAATTATTAAATCAATGTATCAAGAAAACCACTGCCAGAAAAAGGGGGCATTCAAACTCTTGCAAAAATTTTCGGATTCAAAGGCAAAACCCCCCAGTTAAACTGGATGCTTTATCCTCGGAACCAATCAAAAGTTAGCCAAAATACAAATAAAAAAAATGGACTTTCTAAACTCTTTGAACTGTGGGTTGGGGTTGTTAGTTTATTATTTTAATTGGGCTAAATTGATTTTATGGGTGGCCTACAATTTTTTAAGATATTGATTTTAATTACATTACTTAAATGGAAACTTTTAATTTAATGTATTGAGTAATAGATTCAAAGGATTTGAAAATTGTAAGGTAGAAAAAGTTTTGCGCATTAGATTCGACCCTTTGAATTGCCGGTAATTACTTCTCATTGAATTTATTTTTTTCAAGGTCAGACCAATTTTATATGCGTAGTGTATATACTTAGTCTAGGCTTTAAATTAATTTCGTCACAAAAATTTATAATTAATATAAGGCGTAATTAAATTCATATATTACTACAAATACCATAAAATAATGAAATCATTTAATTAATAAGCGAAAGGTCAAATTCTCCACCCCCACCTATTGTCTTGCCTATTGGTTGTTTTCATCCATATTTAATTGATTTTGTAATTAGCTAGCCATATATTATAATCGTTATTGATTAATAAGTTTGAGTTTGAAAAATCATTTATAATTAATATATATATTTTTTAATTTATAAAATATGTGCATGATCGGTCGAAGCATTGACTATCATCCATGTCTAACGTTAAAAAAGGTAGCCTCATGCAATGAATGAAACAACCAAAATTTTGCGTTGTTCTTATCTATAATTATTAATTAGTTTTACATTTGTAACATATAGTGCATGGGGGTTTTGAAGCATTATAAGCTTAGATGATTAATTATTTCATAAAAAACAAGCATGTCAAGATAGGTAATCTAGTGGATTAGTGGAAAGATTATGCTTAATCGACCACGTATTGGCTTTTTAATTTAAAAGTTCATGTCTTTTGTATAGAATCATTCATTTTTTTTTCTTATTATAAATCATGACAATATATCTTATGTTAATTAGGTAATCCCACACTGTTCATATATATTGGTAGAAGATGGAAGTTTTCTTTTATATTTTAATTTATAATTTTAATAATTAATACAATGATTAATTTTTAATTAAATATTATTATGTGTGAATTTGGTTTAATTTTATATTATATCTATTTATTTAATGATTTCTTGTATATAAATATAATATTTAATTATGACAATAATTTCTTTTATACATAATTTTTTAAAAAAAATTTAGTGAGCCGGCGCCACCGTCTTGTATTTTTTTCAGATAGGTCTTCAACTGCTACTGGCGCAGCCTTCATCATCGGCCATTGTCCTATGGCAGATTTGCAAGTTTCGTTTCTGTTGAAAATTTTCTTTTCACTTTCCATATTATTAAATACATTTCATTTCTTTTTTTTTTTTAAATAAAAAAATACTTTTCATTTCAGTCATTAAAAGTTTCTGTCTTAGAAAAAATGGAACGTCTTTAATATACCGCTAACTCATTTTCTTTTAATACTTATGACTTACATATCTTGCATATAAAGAGACGACAATTTAGATAAATTAGGTCAAAAAGATATAATTTTAATTAAAAAATATTAAACTTTTTATTTTTTAATGATAAAATTTGTTTACAGTTATTCATGATATTTTTGGATATCTTAACTGGAAGACAATGAGGTGAGATTAAAGGGAAGATAGCTTGAACCTGTAATTAAAAGATACGATCAAGGACTATCAAAATTGTTGCTTCGCAACACGCTCCAATGCTCAAGGTAATGAGTTATTTCAAATAAGCTTAAGAAAGATAGGAAGGAAGGAAGAAGAAGGTGGTAAAATGTGTGTGTGAACTTTCTAAGAAGGTAAGTTTAAGTGTGAAATACGAGAATATCCTACATATCTGGGTTTTTTTATTATCTTATGTATGGGATAATAATCAATGATAAGTCAAGGTAGTTAACAATATATGAAATGTAGTATGAAACTCAAAAAAGATTCACAAAATTATATGTGAGTCACATTTAATGATTTTATATACAGATAAGTTATATTTAATAGTTTCAAATAAATTAAATGTCAAGTGATTGAAGCGATTGTTATGATAAGATATCAATGAAACATTAAATAAGTTTTTCTTTTGATGAAAGACGAGTTATATTTTTGAGAATAGATAATGTGACATTCTGATCATACTTTATTTAAGCTACTCAAAGGTATGATTTGATTAACTAAATATTAATCAGGATGATCATTGACTAAGTAATTTGTGCATAACAATAATAGTTATTTTATATATATAAATGAATTTTTAATCATTGCGCCAACATAAAATATACAGTGTGAATCAAAGGAAATATATGAGTGTCATTTGAGTTTAGAGTTTTTAGATGACTAATTATATTAAAAAAAGTTCCTGAAATTTTAATAAATTAAAATGATAAAAACATAGTTAACCTTTTATATATATATATATATATATATATATCAATCTCACTTTGGCCAACTTAGTCAAAATTCAATCTTTGATTAGCTTAAAAAAATATATAACAAGGTCAACCAAGAAGATTGTGTGATTATACAAATGTCAAAAGGCAAATAATTAATTAACCAAAATTATATATATATTTTTTTTAAGGAATAAAGGCGCCAAACTAATTTATAGCTAATCAAAGGTTGAATTTTGACTAGAAATTTTCTTGGAAAAAGTTAGCGAAAGTGAGATTCAGGTATGGATAGGTAGAATATGAAGAGGGTAGATTATTTTTCATTCTCATTATTAAATTTTTATATTATATTAATTTTTATATCTATATCCAACGAATATTTTAAATTAATTCATATTTTCATTTTCGTGAAAATTTAATGGGTATAGGTAATTTCTATACTTATAAATTATTTAAAAAATTAAAAATAATTTTTTTAGTTTTTTTATTTTAAATTAATATATTTGGTAATTTTTTTATAAATACATATTAATATTATTTTATTAAAAATATATTAATTCTAATTAATTTAAAATAATAATTTATATTATTTAATAAAAATTTTATTTATTAATTATATGTAAATATATATAGGGTATAGATACGAGATAAATAATATATTATCCGTTCCCATACCTATACTAAATAAAAATTTAAAATCATATTCATATTTATTTTCATACTCATAATATAATATTTATTTTTATTTATATTTGTATAAAAAAATCAAAATTTTTATTATATATGGATAAAATTAACATTCTTATATTGAGATGATTTTGTCAATAAAATTTCATCAGTAATAAACTTAATTTTGTTAGTTGAAGATTGAGAAAGATTAACTATACATTCAAGTTGTAGCATTGACCAATAAGCAAAAAAATGTCTTGGTATGGCATGCAAGACAATCGAGTAATTGGTATTTCTGAAAACAAAACCGACATTTTCTTTTGTTTAGTCAAGGACTAAAACTAGTACTACGTTCACATTGTAGAAAGGTCCTTGAACATCTTCAATGGATCTGATTAGCTGTTTTGACTTGGTAATCATGTCCACAAGAAAGAATGTCTTTGATGCAAGAAATTTATATGCAATCACGCAATTTGCAATAGTTTTGGTTAAAGTTCCAGGAGACAACCAGACTTTTCTTTCTTTTTTTTTTTTTAAAGGAAACCCAATTACAAGTCAAATGATTGGATTCCATTTATTATTAAAGGAGATTTTAAAATTTACAAGCAAGATTAATAAAATATTTTTATTTATTATTACTTTATTAATTTTAAATATGTTTGAAAAAAATTTTTTAATGTTGTTGTAAAATATAAAAACTTTATCAATGATAATGATGTACGAGATAAATTTTCTCCATATTTCACGATGATGTAATAATGATCAAAGAAAAGTTTTATTTGGTTTTTTTTTTTAATTAAACATGTTATTATCCTAAAGTTAGTGCTAATCGATCCATTTATGAGATGAAAGTGACTAGGTTCGAATAACCCTTTTTAGCACGTTTGACGGTGAGAAGAAAGCCATTCGAGTCGGCCGTCGCAAATGGTGACCAGTTGGGTAGGGCACACGTTAGAATCCAACTCGTCATGAAGTGTTAAATCCCCACGTGCTATTTTCAACCATGAACTCGTACGCGCCACCCGATAGAGGAAGTTGTTACGCGCAACGCATAGCCCTTCCAAACAAAACGACACAACCATCATTTGCCGGACGGACCAAGAAATTAACTTCGTACCATTTGCCAACAAAATCTATTTTCCGTGTTTCTTTTCTATTCTGAAAAAAGAATACAATGCCAACTTTATCCCTAAATTTCAATCCCATCCCCTTTTATACTTTATATGAATTGGACCTAAATAAAATTCTATTGGTAGTGTTTTAATCAAATTCAAAGCAAAAAGTATTGGTTAGAAATTCAACCCTCCAAATCAGACAGCTAAGTTGTTTTGCTTTATGTCATGTAATAATCCTGAAGATTCTTTGGAATCAGAATCAACTTTCAATGTTCCATCCTGATTGGTATGGTCGTTATCATCATCCACAGGGACGGCTCTGGTCAGTTCTTGTGCCCTCCAGGCTTCAAATTCCCAATTGGTACGAGTTACAATGAACAACATGGTCAGCACACATGAGGCTTGGGCGGCTAGAAGACCAAGCCAAAGACCTTTGAAATCAAACCCAGCAAAGAAACTCAACCATACCGCAATTGGCATGCCTACCAGGTAGAAGCATCCCAGGTTGATATTTGCTCCCAATTTTGGTCTTGCAGTTCCTCTTAAAACTCCACAGCCTGTTGTTTGTGGGCAGTTTCCAAGCTCACAGAGTCCAAGTATAGGCAAAATCGTTGATGTTAAGGCAATGATTTCTGGGTCTTCGGTGAACATCGTAGCCCATTTTTTTCTTACCAGTATAGTGAAAACCAAAGCTGAAAGTCCTAGTAGGAAGCTCGAAGAGAGGCCAATGATTGTAGCCAGTTTTGCTTTCTTTGGATTGTTAGCTCCAAGTTCATTTCCAACTCTGGTTGACACACCAAAACTTAAGGAAGATGGGAATGTATATATCAAAGATGTGGTTTGAATCAAAATGCCCATTGAAGCAACGGTTGCTTGTGGATTTAACAACAACCCACATAGCAAAATCATGATTTCATACCACCACCATTCCAGGCAAACTGAAATGCAGCTTGGAATGGATAAATTCAATAAATATTTCCAACCTTTTAAGCACTCTGAGGAAATTCCACTCCATGTTTTCTTGTACACCCCGGAGATTTTAACGTAAACGATCAGAAAACCTACGAGATTGAAGTTCGTCCAAATGGAGCCCAAAGCAACGCCTTTGATTCCAAGATTGAGCACCGAAACAAGAAGGTAGTTAATGGGAATGTGAAGAAGAATAGCTAGAGTAGAACAGTATGTCAGAGGCAGAGTTATAGACTGAGTCCTCAAATATGTGCGCAAAGGATGCAAAATGGATTGTGCTAGAAGATCGGGTAGAGAATAAAGAATGTAGGATTGAGCTTCATTGGCAATATTTTCATCTTGGCCACAAAAGAGAAGGATATTTTTCATGTTGAACCACAAAGAAGCTATGACGATTGAAGTCAAGAGAAGCAGAAGTATCATTCTTTGCATGGTGAGGCCAAGAAGTTTGTATCTTTTGGCCCCAAAAGCTTGGCCACAGATGGGCTCCATTCCCACGGCAAGGCCGGATAGAACTGAGTATCCTGTGATGTTAGCAAAGCCAATAGCAAGCGAGCCGCCGGCTAAAGCGAGTTCCCCCAGACGGCCAAGAAACAACATGGAAATCATGGAGCGAGAGTAGAGCAAAAGCCCAGTGAGTACCATCGGAAAAGCTATGTTGGATATGCATTTTGCTTCACCGATTACAAGAGAGAGACATGTCTTTTCTGAACTGTGGTCTTGTTTTTGTTCTGCTGGGTTCTTGGGGTTCAAAGGAGTTAACATGTCTGTTTCCTGTACTTTTATTGTAGTAAGATTTTCGTGGTCCAGACTCTGTTTGCTAGATGAGGAGAAGCAGCACAGGATTCTGTACTTTTGAACTGAGGGTTAAAAAAAAGGATAGGGTGACCCAGAAAGGAATTTGGGGTGGCTGCTAAGTTTGTGGGTTTTTAATCTGTGGAGACACAAAGGGGCACAGTCTTTTCCACCCAACCCCAAGACGGCCTTTTAAACAGAGAAAAAGGAGCGAAAAGAGCTGAAGGATGAGCTTTCAATTTCCAACTCAAATTCCTTTTATGACTACCCACGAGACGTCAGCGCTGATTGGGGTTGCAAAAGAAAGGTCAATCTCTCGTCGGATATTATCAAACATTCAACTTAAAATTAATTAACAATAAATAAAAATTTAAATTTTAAAAATATTTTATATTTATTAAATATGAGATAATATATTTTAACAAACTTTTATTACATTTAAATAAAAATAAAAAAATATTTCATGTGATAAATTAAAAAAATAATAATAAAATTTTGATTTTAATAACATATTTAATATCTAATTTAAAATTAATTAATAATAAATAAAAAAACTTAATTTAAATATAAAATTATAAAATATTTGGTATTCAATAGGATAACCCATGATGATCATCTTTAGTCTACATCAAAATAGAAATGCTTCACCAGTGTCAAGTTTTTATGAGGAGAGCTGTTTACACTTTTAGCCTTTCCTTTTTCTTCTAATTGGGATACAAAACACAATTTAACCTTCAGCCTTTTATTTGATTTCTTTAATTAAGGGGACAAAGCATTTAAGTTTAACCCTCAATCTTTTAATTGATTGGTTAATGGTTATGTGTTCTTTTTAAGGGTTCCAAAAGGTTTTTAGTTGAGGAGACAAAAACGTTTATTTAGATATCAGATTCAATTTGATTTTAAAAATAATATATAAAAATTTTAAAATAAAATTTAATTTATATTTTTATACAATTTAAATCGAATGAAATTAAATTTTATTAATTTAATTCATTAGATTGATCAATTTTTTAAATTTAAATTTAAATTTTTTATATACTATTTTAATATATTTAAATAGATTTAAGTATAAAATAATTATTTTTATTTTGTAAAAAAATTTAAAAATATATAAAATCTATTAAAAATATTTAATCAGGTTTAATTTTTTTTATTTTTATCTAAAATTTAATTTAAATTTAATATATATATTTAATATCTAAACTTATTTTTAATCAAATAAAAAAAATCAAATTTTTTTCTTTAAATTTTTTTCACCCGTACGTTTATTTGTGTGGACCCAATAACACACGTGAGGCTTGACTTATTTGCCATTCAACCTATACTATTTTGTTGCTTAGGAAACAAGCTAGACCATATTTTATTGTAGCTATGGATTGATTTAAAAATGTTTAAATCCTAGTTTAATTATAAAAACATAAATAAATGCATATATAAAGTTGATTAGATAAAAAGTTCCTTTCATTGTAATTTTTTAAAATTCAATAAAAAATGGTAAGGTGAATTGATCATTAATAGATCATATCTTCAACAATAGAATTCAATCATGCATGTAATTAAATAGTTCATAAGTAAAAGTTGAATAAAGATTTTAAATTTGAATTATAATACTTTTTTTATGTAAAGCAAAAAAAAAAAATTGAATTTATTATATTTATTATATTTTTTGTAAATAGTAATAAGTTCAAAACTTTGCTTGTAGCTATCATATATAGTGCGTTCTCCGAATTTGGTCACATAAAATTTAATGAATTTAATTTTTTTTAAAAATATCTAATATATTGATGGTGAAATTTTTGTCCCTGAGATTCTGTCTTGGAGCAGATGTCGGCTCGGCGGTATGTCGACGATGCAGTGTGGAAAGGGCACCAGACTGTTAAATCAAAACCACTATGACCGGTTCCATCGAGCGGCTGTTATGGACGGTGGCACGAGCTCCGATGGAAACCTTGGTACACGTCGTCTCTTCTATGTTTTGATAGTCACCATCATCAACAACAACAAACAGTAATAGCAATTTTGTTCTGTGACAAAGGGAGCTCATGGCTCCAGATATCATTAAAAATTGTTGCGATTTTTTTATATTTTGCTATTAAAATTCATTAAATTTTAATTTTATAAAAAAATTTATTTTTAATATTAAATATATTAAAATTAAAATTTTTTTAACTCCATAAAAATAAATATCATCAGAATAATTTGAACAAAAAGAGTAATTAATTTCTGTAATTATCTTGACGTGCAATTTGATAGCTTCTAAGCTATATAATAAAACCATTCACGATCAAAAGAATAGGAATCTTACCGACACAACTTATTGATACATTACAATCAACTTGGCTTTTCAAAGGTAGATGGATATATAATTCAAACCACCGCAATCGAAGCAGTGCTAAGATGGTTTTGATTACTCCGTATAGAAAAATATGAAAGAGATTTGATAATGAAATTAGAGATAGACTGCAAATGTGAAACTTGTGGTTTTTTATTATAAGTGCACGTTTTTTTTTTCTTCCTTAAACATGCATTTAAAGTCCTTTTGACAATAAATGATCCTAAAAATTTGACATAAATATAATATAATTTTAGATAATACCATTCTAGATAATACGTGTCACGATTACTTGACAAATTAAAAAAAAAATTGACTTAAATTATGTCAAAATTTCATGATTAATTTGACAAAATCAAATTCATAATATCATAGTTTTTGAAAACAAAGTTTTAATGATTTGAAAAGTTTAATATTTTTGTACTTTGCAAATCTGTACTTTGCAAACGTGTCATTATCACATACAAAAATGTTAAAGATTAGACTTTTTATTTGATCTTCAAGCTATGAATTAGTGTAGAGATCAGAAATACGACAAAAATCTGGCTGCGATGATGGAGGAATTGAAGTCATTAACGTGTAACGACCGGCAGCACTTGGGTTTGCTTGTTTTCGTTGTGGCAAAACTTTTGAATTTGAATTAATTAGTCAATTTGGCAGGATTAAGTCTAATTGTGAAGATTGATTATAAGTTATGGCTAGGATAGGAGTACATTTTTCAAGTATGGCGACTTGTCTGAAAATGAGATGAGATTAATCTAATAGTTGGACTTTAGGTTTTTTTCTTTTTCTTTTTGCCGATTTCTGTTTGATTAGGCTTTTGTTTATTTGTAAAGGGAAATGAAAAGGTCAGATGGAAGCTTAATTTTGTATTAAAATTTTTGGTTAAATTCATTTTTTAATTGTCTTTAAAATGATTAAAACGATTTTACTTTTTTAGTGATTAAAAAAAATAGTTGACTCATAAAGAATAATCTACTATAAATTGTTTTATTTTTTAATAATACCGAAATCGATTTCATATTATGCAATTAGCACATTTATGAAGTTCAAGCATCCCTAAAAATTTCATTGAAAAAATCACACAAAAACCAAATCAATATGGCTCTTAGGACAGGGAAATTGCTAGAGTTGGAAGATGTTCAAGTTGGGCTCACGTTGAAAACTATGACCCATGGCATCTGCTAACTTCGACTAACCCATATTTAAGTTGGGTTTAGTCTTTGACCACATAACCAATCCAATCCATTAAAAGCACAGCCCCAATTGCACATAGTTGGGTTGGATAAAATTAAATTTTTCTTCAACGGATAAATTAATATACTAATACTCAAACGTCCAAACAAAAAGTAAACAAAAAGGCTAAGGGCAAACCCTCCATTGCCAAACTTTAGACCGCTCTGCCCTTCTTTGCCATCTCACAGTATGGATGGATCGTCGTCACTGACAAACTTGCTTCAGTAAGTGTGGTTTTTCCAAAAATGGTTTTAATTGGGATGCTCTTTGTGTCAGGAAAGAGCTTGTCGATGAAGGTGCTCATGCCCATCAAACAACATGCAAAGAAGATGAAGAGGCCGAATTTCAAGTGGCAAAGCATGGCGGTGAAGGCCATGCGCCTCGGCGAAAGTGAAGATGATGTTGACGGAGACGTTGATACTTTGAGCAGAGGAACGGATTTCAAGCGGGAAGATTTCACTAGGCACTAGCCAACCCAAAAGGCCCCATGACCAGGCAAAGCCAGCAATGTAAATAAACATGGCTATCACCACAAGAATTGAGATCCATATTGGCAGCTGACCAGGGTTTCCACTTGTACCAAATTTGGAAGCAATTGCAATGGTCATAACAAGCTACGCATGCAAATAAAAATACAAATGGTGAGATATAAGTACCAAACATACAAAACGACAAGGATTTGAGAATGATAAGAACTCGTATTCTTCGTAAGGGATCGAAGAAAAGGATCAAAAGATGAAGAAGAATCATTCATAAATATATATATATATATATATATATATACCTGGCAAATAAACATTTGACACAACCCTCGAGGAAAAGTGTCCTCCTTCCATACTTCATATATCAACACAGCAAAAATTGAAACCAAGAGTTGCTAAAGCATTAATGCGTTGTTACCAAATCCCATGCTCTTGAAGAGAATAGGAGCGTAGATGATAGAACACAAACACATTCATGCCTGTCAATTGTTGAAAGAAAGGAATTAAGATAGCAAAGATAAGCTGAGTCCTGTACTTCCTTCACTAATAAATCTGTGTGGTAATTGGAAAAAATTAGTGGAATTACTAGTATCATAGAAGTGTTTGGTTTGGCCGATGAAAAAGGGGTTGTGTTTTGAAGTTTTAAACGAGTTGCTGTCACTTAAGCACTGTGATTTAGTGGCCAGGCGACATCAAGATCATCCAGAAAGTCCATAATTCTTAATTTTCTCTCCTTTTCTCTTCAAGAAATTAAGACAATTTCTTTTTTCCCCTGCAATATTCTCATTCACATTTTTGTTACTCAATTTACAAAGTAAATAAGTTTTTAGAGGTAAAAATAAACAAAAAGGGTTTTATGTAGGTTCATCTGAATGGTTCATAAAAACCAAAAACCAAACTTTTTTAAAAAGTGAAAGATCGTATATTATCTTTCAATAATTGTAAAATATTTAGCTGAAAAATTCCATGAAAATTTATTGAATAATGGGCTAAAAATTAAACAGCAAAACCATGTGTGAGGACAAAGAGACTTTGTGGGCTCAGCACTCGCAGCTATACATGCCTGGAACCAGACCTGAGTACCTGACCTTGCTGGCCAAATTTCATCCAAGCGAATATAAATGTTATCAGCCACCTAACCAAACAGATACGGGTTTGTTTTGTAATTAACAACCATATCTGAAAAAACATCTTTAAATTTTGTTTAGAATTTATGGGACCTCACGGTAGGCGCATTCATTTCATCTGATAAAGAAGAAGATTTTTGTCACAATTAGCTTCCGTGCGACAACATGTGGCAAAATTCTTTGCCAGTAATGGAACACTTTGTTTTTTATCTGTTCCTGGGAAATGGAACTTGGTTTTTGACCACATTTAACCTATTTCATGAGATGCAGTTGGAATTTCATCAGATGCTCTTAGGTAAACTGATCAATCAAATAAAAGCAAGAAAATATCCTTTGTCAGTCTTTCCATTTAATTAGAGGAACTATTTGTTTGGTTGGCAAGTCAAGAACCCTTTAAAAATCTTTTCATGTTTCTTCTCAAGTCTTTGACACCTGAACTAAAGCAATTGGAGAATTATTTCAACATGACCCTATAACGATACGTTTAACTTGGATCAAGAGTTCTGATTTATCACACTATCTATTCAAAAGCACAGTGAGCCTTGTACCAAATCCGTGTACATTTGTAATCTCTCAATTCCTTAACTCTGCAATCCAATAATTTTAAAGATTGAACCTCGTAATTTAACCAATTGGGATTTGGCTTTCTGCTATCCCACCTACAACTTCTGTCAATTTATAAAATCCACGCGGTTATACTAACATATACTATTAATATTATGTAAGATTACGATATCATAATTCTTAAAATTACGTTTGATTATATAATTATATAGAATAAATTACATTAACATATACCAATAAAATTAAGTTAGCTAAGCTAAAAATCCACTGAAATAATTTTTTTTAGGTAAAAAAAAAATTATCTTATTTTTAAGATTACGATAAATCATCAACTTAAAAAAAAATTTACATATCTTTTAAAATTTTTTGAATTTATAAATTATTTATCAATAAAAAAGCGATTCAAATATAAATATTTTACATTTAGATCTTAAACCTTGACTACCTGAGTCCACTAATATCGGCCAGTAAAACAATTTATCCGTGTGCACTGTACGTGTGCAGCGATAAGGAGCGAAAGAAGAGAGATTCAAAGAGTTGATATTGAGGCATCGAAACGTGTACAATCGAAAACAGCTAAGTAATAGCTTTGTGAATAGTAAGGCGTGTGAAGGATATAAACCACAATTTTTATCAAGAAGAAAGAAAAACACAGAATCAGCCCTGAACAATTGTTTTCCACTTCAAACTCCGAAAGACTAAAACCCTAAAAGACCAATGAAACACAACTGGCCCTGGCCTGGGTACCACAATTTGCCCCGCGAAATCCCCACGTTTCCGCCTTTTTTAGATATCACTGCGAGACAAACACTTAAACAATTCGGCTTTCCATTAAATACCCACCAATACCATATTGCATACTATAAACTTTCAATAAGATTTTCTTTCTTTTAAAGTCTTTATCAATTCTTCCCTGGCTTAGTTTACCCTAATAATCCCACCAACGTGCGTCAATTAGACCAACATTTTCAGCCACCGGTACTATCTTCCACGTGTGACAAATTACCCCCTACTACTCCCAAAGCCACTATGGCCTCATCCTCCTCCGGTAAACACCCAATGTATCGTGGAATCCGATGCCGGAGCGGCAAATGGGTGTCTGAAATCCGTGAGCCACGTAAAACTACGCGTATATGGCTCGGTACGTATGCAACCCCAGAAATGGCCGCAGCTGCCTACGATGTGGCTGCTCGAGCCCTAAAAGGCAGTGAAGCCGCCGTTAACTTCCCTGAATCCGTTGCTTCGTATGAGCTTCCTGCTTCTACATCGTCAGCGGATATACGTAAAGCAGCTGCAGCTGCTGCTTCACTAAAGAAGGCTGAAACCAAAAGTGAGACTAATCAAGGAACAGGTCATCATCATCAGGCCAAAAATGAAGAAATGACGAAAGAAGAAGAATATGTGGACGATGATGTCTTTTTGAATCTGCCTAATTTGCTGATGGACATGGCCGAGGGACTGTTGGTATCGCCTCCAAGAATAAGCTCGGCGCCATCCGAAGACTCGCCAGAGAATTCTGATGGAGAAAGGTTGTGGAGCTATTAATTGATCAATTTTCTAATAATGCTGCCAGATATCCTTTTTTTGAACGTGGGCTGGAAGAAGGACAATGAGTTTGACAAAATGAAGAAAACAAACTAGGACTTGGCGTCATATGATGCAGCTTTGAGCAAATTTGTCTGCCTTTGAAAAAAAAAAAAAGATAATGTTAAATAAAGACAAATATAGTAAACAAAAATCATGAATTTTATGAATATGATACATTGATTTCCTACAAGTAAAGTTTTGGATTTAAGCCGTTGATCCTGGTTCCAATATTTCTTTGCTTACGAGTGCTGTTGTGGTATATAGATAAAATGGTGCAATATTAGCTTGCCAGTTCATAGTTTTTTTCCTTCTTCAGTTTTCCATTTTCATATGACTGAAAAAACCAGTTCGAACTCTACTCCTTAATTATGTTTTAGAAGCTATTTATGGTGATTTCTTCTTATTTATATGAGCCTGATTTTACAATGAAATTGTTATACTAACCATGTTTATGAGGTTAAGACAAACAGAAATTATCATTTCTGTATACCAACCGGCCTATAATAAAAGGGGGCAAATGCTTTCATATACTTAATAAATACTCATATAAATACTTGATTATACGCATGCATGCTACCTATGTATAAGATTTGAAATCCAAACTTGAATGCTAAACATTTCCCTCTCATTTTAAGCAAAGTTGACAAGAAGCAGGTGGTGTTTCTTTAATCATGTAAGTCACTAGGTATGATGCAAAAGTTTTGTGACTTTTTTGGAATTCAAGAATATTGTACTGTGTACATGTCAATATCTGCTTGATGAAAGATTGAAAGTGAAGAATTGGATTTGGGTAATCAGAATAGAGTTTGAGATATCTGTTTGATTAAACTGTTTAATTGTCGGGGGGCCCTTATATATTCTCAACTCCACTAGTGTTTTCTTCAATGTTCTTCATAATAACCATACAAAAAATAATAATTAGGATCAAAGAAGGCTGTCTGCCGAGTTGTAATATTAAACATTTTTATATAAAAATGATCATGATAAAAACATCTTTAATGGGATTCTGAACAGAAATTATATTACAAGATAAAATAAAATGGTGATCGGTCATCAAGTCTCTCTGAGTCTCCATTGCCAGTTGCCACCTAGTGCGAGTATGTGTGTATATCTCTATATATATATATAGAGGTAAGATCAATTTATATTAATGTAAAATTTTTTAATTATTAATTTTAATAAATTAAAAAATGAGACGCAAGATGAAAAAAGAAAAAATGAATTAATATTATCTCTTAAATTTGTTAAAATCAATGATTAAAAAAAATTGTAAATGAAGGCATATTGATTTTTTTATTAAAAACAGGAAATTAAAGTATTCTATTTCAAAATCAAATCCTTTTTTTTTTTTTTAACAAATCCTCTATTTACATGTATCGTTAGGGCCTACATGACTTTTTATCCTCATGAAATATCCAACACATTGGAGTATTATCTCTGCTTAAGTCATTGTAAGAAAAAAAAAATTGATTGCTCCTTTCAGATATGATTTCTCATTTCTTATTGGTTTTTGTGGTCTTCAATGAATAATTGCGTAGGAGGAAATGCCCAAAGCGTGTTTTCTAGTCGGCCAAGAAAATCTAGACCCTTACCCAGAGCTGTCTTCAGTATTGAAACGACGGTGTTAGTTTTTATTGGAACCTTTAAATCTAGTAGTAAAATCTAAAGAAAAAAAAAGAATAAAATTGTGGAGTATTATCTACGGCCAAAAATGCTGTAGCCGAAATATTTCTGTTTTATTTTCTTCATTGAATGAACAAAAAGAGTTTGACTATATATGGCCGACATAGCCACCTTCGTTTGCTTTTCCTCTCCCTTCACTTTCTCCCCCGGTAGGTAATGTGTCTTTCTCTTTATCTCTGTTGAACTAAGATTTTGATCTTTCCATATCTTTAAGCTCTGTTTGGTAGGAAGAAATTTGAGAGGAAAAGAATATATATATATATATATATATAATATAATATAATATAATGATTGAACTACAGAGAAAAGTGTTGTTAAAATCATCAAAGAAATAAGACTGGCATCTGAAATAAACCTTTCACAAGTGAAAAAGGAAAAAAAAAAACCTAAAAATGGGTTGCAAACATATATTATAAGTATTTTTATAACTTGGAAATTACTTCAATGGAAACAAAGGGATGCTTTAAACCTTTACTTAGCAAGTTTGTGAGGTTTAGAAAGCTGCATTTCTTGACTTCTTTTTTTTTTTTACCTGAAATTAATTAAATAAATTAAACTATCTCTCACCAAAAAAAAAAAAAAAAGGAAAAGTTGCACTTTATCATCATAAGCATTTTCCATTTTAAGCAAGTCTCGAGGTGGTAGCACCACTACTAAGAATAAGAAAATGGATATTGATTTTAAATATTTCTCGTTGTCGTTTTTGTTTTCACTTTCACATTTTATTTTTTTAATTTTCAATTATAAAAATTATAATCTTTATTTAAAATTCATTGACAGTATAATTCTGAACGTAGAATGAAATAATTAAAAATAAAAGACGATAATATAAAAGTAGTATCTTAAAATAGTCGGATAATTATTTAAAATCACTTTAACTTAGATAAGTTTACTTCACAAAACATCAAACCATGAAGAGGGAACAAGCAACCAATGCAGCTGACTGACTATTGTTTCTCTTTTATGTCAGTCTTTTCTCTTAATAAAGAAGTGCCTCTTTCTTTTCTATAGGTAAACAAATACCCCCTCTCTCTCTCTCCCTGCCACCCCCCCTTCCTCCTTCTTGCAATGCAATAGGATGGCCTAAAACTCACGTTTAGTGGCCCAGAAAAGATATGTCTCCCACCTGATGATCCCAATCATTGTGTTCTTTTAGTTTGTTAGTTAATTATTATGATTTCTTTCTTTTTTTTGTTTTTGTTTTTCTTTTAGATTATTCGTTTGAGTTGGTTCTTAACTTTAATTGGTGGATTCTTACAGTAAACTGTGTTGTCTGGGACATGGATATTAAAATATGAATTCCTATCTATATCAAACACTGCATTATCTGAGGGCTCAGTCCCCATGTGAAGACTTTTAAAGGAAAAATGAGGATCAACCTCTGAAGCAGGTTGTCCAGTACTTTCGATGGTCGGAAAACGACCAAATCAAAGGTCAAGCTCTAAGGTTAGCTATGTCTATTTATATGTCTTACATAAGTCATTTTTTTAACATAATTTATTCTCTCGGAAAATTCCATGAACTTGATCTTGTCCGAATTTTGTCCACAAATTTGAAGCTAGTAATATTCAAGCAGACCGATCGACCTTGCATGCGATTCTTTTTCCAGAAGGACTTGGCTAACTTGCCTAGACTTGCCTACACCTTTTTTTTACACCATGATTCTTCCTATTACTACGTGTTTGAGGTTTCTGATCATCGGAGGATGTTGAGCTTAAGAAAAATACCATTTTCCTTAGTAAAAAATCTAGACATGCTTAGGTTTAGATTTTACCTCTCACCGCTAGTATGGTGCGATTAAGTTTATTATACATTAGTTAAATTCAAATGTTAATTTTAATAAAATTTATTTAATATAAATTTTTATTTAATTTTTTCATTCACAATTATAATATTTATTTTCAATCATAATTATAATAAATTTTATTATTATTTTTAATTTTATTATAATTAATTTCACTGTAAATCAAAATAAAATTTAAGTTTAAGAGAATTTTAAAATCAATCCATTTTTCATTTTCATGTGAATAGTGTTTACATATACTACTAAATTTTTAAAAAGTAATGCTCGACAAAGGAGAATATAATTCAACATTGGAAGTCAAGTCGTCACCAATATCCATAGCTCAGATCTCCTCCGCCCATGATCAATTGCTCCCTCCATTGTATAACTTTTTCTCCAAGATGTCGATTGCTTTTGACCTTGACGTGAAAAGTTGGGATAAAGTTTGGACTCCCGACCAACAAACTCAGTCCAGCTGCAACTTTGGACTTTGAAAAGTTGAGGATTAACATGGATGGACTGCATTTGCCGATTAGTGATTTACTCTTACCACTTTTTGGGCTGAGGTTTGGGCTGACAATCAGTCTTTTGGGCTGAAGTTTGAGTTCAAACCTCAGCCCTTATTTTAACCCATGATTTTGATTTCTGATCTGATGAACAATAAGGGAAGATAAATTGGCAATTGATATTCTAATATAAGTAAATATATAAAAGTTTTATAAAAAAAAAAAATTGAATGGCTTATGTTATTGATATGTGAACGTTTTTTAAAGATTGACATGTGTATTATAGTAAATGTATTTATTTTTTAAAAAGAAAATTAATTATATTTGTTTTTATTATTATCTATCTTAAATCACTTTCAATTAAATTCATATAAAATGTAATAAAATTTTAATTGCCATCATTAATACATAGAGTACTTTTATTATTTTTTGTCGCCTTTTATATATTGTCACTATTACATTAATTTCAAAATCCTCCTTCTATATTTAAAATTGAATACCATTATAATTGCTTTAAAGTATTCATACTTTATTTCATATTCAACTTTCCAAACTTTATTATTCAAAAAAAAATTTTCAAACTTTGAATTTGACTAGCTAAATCAAAAGTTTAACTTCAAATTTTAATCCATTGTCTTCCATAAATCACTCTAAACTTGATTATTAGTCTCCTTTTCATATTCTAAATCACTCTAAACTTGATTGTTAGGTCCTAGAACTTTAAAATCTTAAATTAAAAATTTATTGTATGAGAATTTAGTTGTTTAATTATATTCTAATTTATTAATTAATTATTTAATAATATATCATATATAAATATAATTCTTAATTACGATTATAACTTATCTTATATTTATAATTTCATAAAAAAAAAAAACCAAATATATGTATAAACCCAAATTTATATAATTCACTTTTATTCTCTTTTTTTTTTTTTTTCAATTTTGATCTATTTTATTGCACCTTTATTAGCAAGATTGGAAGGAAAATTCCCTTGCTGGCAACAAAAAGTCAACCTGTTTAAATCTAATAATTGTAAAACTGTGAAAGCTGCAAGCCCTGTTAGAGGCAAGGGATGCGATCTAAAACCAAAATGTTGTAAAAATCAACCCATTATTTTGGACTAAGATCATACAAGTCTGCATTCAGATCAGGCGAGCTAGCCTGAGAGCTTTCTTCGTGACAGGGAGGTTTATGGGAAGGATATCCTCGTGGAAATCTTAGACAGAGTTCCTTGTAACATGTTGGATTCTTAACCGGTTCATAATCAAAATGAACCCATCTCAGAAGATTTAATGAGTAAAGCTCAGCATAGGTTTCATAAATTCTCCATTCACAAAGATTAACCTTGTTTTGGGCACAGTCATAGCTCTGTCTGTACGCTACAAATGACCCATTTGTCGTTGTGCAGTAGTATATCGTTTCAGGCAACAAACTGTACCTGAATTGGAACCTGATTTCTTCACGAGGTTTCAGCCACTTGTTTCCAAGATAATTGTTTGTTAAATCATAACGAAAGCACCTAACGGGTGCTTGATGGGACATGGAATTGGTTATGTAGATTTCATGCAATGGAAGCTCTTCAGGTTTCTTGCATTTTCCCGCACACAAGGACATTCCATAGAGCACCAAAAAAAGCAATAAAATGAAATTTCCAGTGTTCTTGTCCATGGTGTTGGCGAATGGTATCGTGTTGACGATCCCCGGAGGGTTCCTACCAATTTATAATACAGGGAACTGAATTTCAAGTGAGAAAGAAATTATATTTCTTTTAATAAAAAGTGAAACTTCTTGTTTACTGCTATTAACTTTCTTAAAACCGATTTCATTAATTTTTTTATATTCAGAGATGCGTTTTATGATTAGATTTATCATAACCGTTTACTTGGAACATATTTTAATATTCATTGAAGACTCTTAATTAGAGACTCAAAGTAACTTATGGACTAGAAATACTCTTTAAGAGACCAATTGGCAGTTTAAGAGAATGTACTTCCAACATTGTTAATTTGTTTAGAATAAACAAAGAAACCATATTAGATGAATTCCACCAACTTCACATTTTCTTTAGTCTTGATGCTGATACAGTGAGACTGATCTCTGAAAGTCAAGTAACTTCTATCGGTATTAAAGGGCCGCAAGCTATCTGCTATGGCCCCAGTGGGCGAAGCAGGGGATGCCCCATGTTCACATTTTGGACATTCACTTCCCTGTTTGTGTTGTGTGCGTAAGATAATCCGGAGACGGTACCCAATGACCATGAACTTTATATAGGACAGTGCGGGTATACTTGTGTACTGATAGAAGGGGTTCCGAAACGATTGAAAGGGAATTTCAGCTTAAAGCCTTAAACTATTCCCTTATCTCATTTCATTATATGATTGTGATGTTATATATGCATCTACCCAAAGTTTGGAACACCGTGGATCACTTTTCGTTAAGAATTTCAGACCAAAATCGGCGGAAGTTGACCACACAACAACATCAAAAAGAACAAATGAAGTCTGCTTATGTAAGAATCTTAATGTCACCGCAAACGGAAAAAAAAAATCGATGGTTGAATGTTGGAAACTTGGAGTTATATCACGTCTAACTTAATTGGTCAACAATTAATTTAATCAAAATTTAGTTAACATAATTAGATTTTGGGATTGTTTAGATAAGATATGTTTAGATAATCATGTTACCTGCTTCTAAGGAAATGGTTTGTCCTTTGCTCATGAAAATAATTGTCCAAAATTTCATTGATAATATGTAAAAAAAATCATTTTAGAATGAATCATTTTACATTTAATTTATTTAAAATTATTAAATACGACTTATATTTATTTAAAATTATTAAATACGATCCACATTTATTGATATGAATTTTTTTTAGCTTCACGTAAATATCTCATTAATTGTCTCATTAAAATCACTTTATCTTGATCTTATATATAAAATAATTAAAATATCACATACATAAAAATAAGAATGATAAAAATATCTAAACCTACTACACTTTAAGCTTACTTCCATTGAAATTTCTCTTACATACTTCATATTCTTTATCTTCCTTATCATTTTTATCCTATCTCAAATACAATACTGATTTAAGCTTCAAAAGGTACCTCAAAACAACAACTTCAATGCCCCTAATAGTGTTATTTATTTTGTTATATCTGTTTTTGTGAGGTGGGAAATGAGAAATTAATGCCTTCGCTCAACAGGACCAGGGCCGGGCCAGTTACTACAGTGACCCACTTCAGAGTCCCAAAGGGATGCATTATTTTCCACAGCTATCTAATAAAAACTACAGTAGCTTTCAGAATTGTACTTTGGGACTTTGGTATTTTTGCAGCTCAGGTATGGGATTAATTTGTATGAACCAAAGTAGGGGACCAATTAAGTTTGCAGCAGGGGACTCACATGTGTTGCTTTGATCCATACTTCTAGGTTGTGGGATACTTGATCTCAGGGTGGTCCATTATAAATGTAGATCTCCATCACTTTTTTCTCTTTTTTTTTATTTGTTATTGCCTGTAGTCTGGTAAAAATACCTTCCTCGATGTCAAGAATTAATGAGGATAAAAATCTTGACAGCAATAATTGTAATTTCCTGTCATTTCAAAAATCTGAGGCTTTGGATTATCAATATATAAAATTGATCTAAAGGCATATTCTGCAGAAAAAAAAAAAAAAGTACAAACAAATCATGCATGCCATTTCAAAATTTTGGTGATGAACAATAGAGCACGTACTCCGCTGTGGTCCCAAAGCTCCATGAGACCATCCATCATGCAACAATTCATCTTGTTCAGTTAATTTTTTAATTTTATATTTATATTTGAAGTATTATAATATATAAAATTTATATATTATTAATAAATTAAATGATATAATCTTATTAATAAAATAAATAAAATAATACATTCTCATTAATAAATAAATTTTTTAAAAAATATTAATTTTTATATATTTATTATAAAAATTAATATGTAATCATTAATAAAATAATAACTTCTAATTTATTGATAATATATAAAAATTATATATTATAATATATCAAATATAAATTATTTAATTTTTCTGCTTTCATTTTAAAATTAAAATATAAGACTTCAAAATTTTAAATTATATACAAATACGCGCGCCCACACACACAAATATATATATATATATATATATATTCACACGCACATTGTTTTGGGTAAGTAACCAATTTATATTGTCTCCTCTTTAGTTGAAAATCATAATCATTCACAACTAATTCCCTGACCACGCGTGCATTAAAAACAGTTTTAATTAAACTTTACTCCTTATTTTCAAATTATTTCCCACATTATTGAAATTTCATCACACACCGTGTAAGACAGAGAAAAAAAAAAGGTTTACTATTATCTAGATTGTATTTTATAACACGGAAGGTATCTTCAAATTTATTTTTGTTTTGGTTTAATTTTGTTTAATAATTTTTAGGATAAATTCCGCCATCTCACACAATATATTTAAGATTTTATTTTCAAAATGTTTTAAATTTTTTATCTTGCATGATCCGAACAGAAATAAAAAAGGAGAAATAATTGTGGCCCGCTATCTGCATGCTTGGAATCAACCAATCAGTAGTTAATAATATAACCTTATTGCAGCAACATAATGGCACATAAATCCACATTAACATCTTTCTTATTGAATCTGGCGCTACTCCAAAGAAAAGAGGGAAAGCCTTCATCAATAGACCCCAACAATACAATAATTGACTCTAATTTTCTAATCTTGCAGTCTTATTTAGTACTACTGATCAATTACCCCGACCACCGATATGAGTTGTGAACTTGCATCATTAATGATAAGCTCTCAAGCCTTTAGCCCTTGAGTCATGGAGAAGGTCTATAATTAAACTGATTATAGTATAATTAATAAATGGTAGCTTAAAATTATGTGAAAATTATTAGAATTTTGTATAAAATTAACATTTATAAGTAATAAATTTTATATAATTTTTTATTATAATTAAATAATTTTAATATTATAATAAAAAAATTGTGAGTGAAATACTCTTTAAATCGAACTATGTTTGACACTATAACATTTTATTCTCAGGATCGTATCTTAAATCTCGTAAATGAGTGTATTATCAATACTATTTAAATAGGATCTTAGAACCGTGATTGAGCAGAGATCTTAAGGTTTGAAAACTTTTCAAAACTCAATCTTGACAGTAATTGTCTTGTAATTAAAGAAACAATAACCAAATCGCATGGTTAATATATATATATATATATATATTATTATTATTATTGAGATTAGATTTGTTGCAGAGAATGGTTAAACGACAGGCACACGTGGCTAAGCGCGTGCAGAAAGGCCAGGCTGATCCTTTCCTTCTTCCTCCAGTCTCGCCGCATGCATGGAGGATAGCACATCTTTTTCAGATTTGTCAAAGGTCAACTACTGGTCTCTCACACCCGTCCAAAAACCTAATTATAATTATGATAATAATAAAGCAATAAACAAACTTTTACATGCATTCAATTCATCAATTCAAAAAACCAATTAAAATACTCAAACTTAAGATTCAAAAACTGAAACAATTACGGCAAGAAGAAGAAGAACTCAAGAAGCATCCAAGCTTCTCTCCAAACTCTTTGTCTGTCTCTCACTCTCCTTTCAAGTATTTATCCTAGAGATCTTCACCACCTTAAGAAATTACCTCTCACTTTCTTTCCTTCCATCTCCTTTCCTTTCCCTATAATTATAAATCTCTCCGTCTTATTTTTATTTTTGCAGTTTCTCTCTATCTGCATTTTTCCTCTTCTGTGTTTCTCTGTTGTACTAAAAGTTGCAACTCTTTCTGCTAAAGCCTTGGTGTAGTGATTATATTTCAGTGTCTAATTTAAATGCTCTCTTGCATCCTTCAAGTTTTCATCATCATACGCCATTGGTTACAGCTTTAACAACTGATAAAGCTCTTTTTGTTTGAAAGCCTGAATTTTTTTTTCCATAAATATGGCTTTGATCAATGTTCCCACTGATCATATTAAGCTTAGGAAAACGGTTTTGATCGAGAAAAAACCATTAATGCTCAAAGATTACCTAAGAGATGATCTGAGTTCGTGCTCGTCTAGTGGTTTCAAATCGTTACCACGTCGCCAGTGTTGCACCAGCTTCAGGTTTCTTCATGAGGCCGACCTAAAGAAATCAAAGGATTACTCAAGCTCTACTAAACGACTACTGAAAAGAAGTCGGTCGAAGCCAGCTTCTACCGCCATTTCAGCTCTGCAAATAGCTTCGGAGGCTGTTCTTAACGCCGTCAAGCTACTGCCTTTTCCTTCCTTCAAGTCATCTTCGCCGTCGTTGCAAAGCAACAGCTCGAGGCAAAGACCTTTACCCAGGAATTCTTCAAGTAAGCTCTTCAAAAGAAGCTTTTGGAGAAAAGCCGAAAAGGAAGATGGTGAGATCAAACGGTGGAGATTGTTTAGTGAATTTCTCGAAGAGAAAAACCAACCGTCTGATCAGAATACTATTACCGATGTCAACACCACCGACAACTCTTCTACGACTACAAATAACTGTAGGTTCTCTACGAGCACGAGCAGTAATAGTTGGGCTGAAAGTGAATTTACTGCAGACATTTTACAGTCTTCGAGCGGCAATTCCGAGAGCACGAGTGGAAACGACACCGTTGAGGGTAAAACAAATTTACCTGAGAAGAAAAAAGTCAGCAACATAGTCGGCGGAGCAGTCGACGAGGATTCCATCAACAACTACCAAAAGGTAAAGAGAGATCCATCCAATGCTCGTGTTTATTTTAATATTTGTCCTGTCTGTTGCTGGCGTTCCCTGATTGGTTGTTGTCTTATTATTACTATTTTTTATTTTTGGGGAATAAATTTGGTGAGGGATTTGGAGGGCATTTCAAAGCATGTTGAGGGTGGGATTGGGGAAGAGAAAGAGAATCTGGCGGGTGGATCGCAATCGCACGGATTTCTCACGTGTGGGGTATTAATTGGGAAATGATTGGGTACATCTCGGATCTACCGCTTTCAATTCCCGTCGAGCCTTTCGAGGCCTAAGGATCCCGCTACAAGTTGTCTTCCGGCGGGATCCACGGCGGAGAAACTCGAAAGAGCATCTAATTTCATAGTAACGAGATGTACCATACCATTCCTTTATTTTTTTTATTTGAGATTTTACCATTATTAAATTTATATTGGAATATCAGGCCAAAATTAAAATTATTTTGAAATAAAGATGTTAGTTGTTGCTGGTGCTTTTAATGGGGTTAAGTATGGGTGGTTCACTGGTTCACTGGTTTTGGTAGATTTGGAATTAGGTTTGTTTTCTTTCTTGTCGGTTAGACAATGAGAATTTGGCACATTTTTTGCATTGACATTAATATCTTATTTTCATTTGAGAGTACATATTTGGTGAAATGAAGTTTAAAATTAAGGCAAAGTTTTGTGGTTTTTTTTTTTTTTTTTTCTATACTGTTTTTTATATTTTGGTTTAAACTCGTTGGTTTGAATGTATACAGCTGCCAATAATAAATTGACAGGGGATATTAAATATTTGCCACTTTATGATAGTCTTCAATGTTTTTTTTTTTTTTTAATTGGTTTCACTAAGATTTGAAACATTAGTTTAACGGGTAGGCAGATGCCAAGTAGCGAGTTGACTTGGACTAATTAACTTATTTTTAAAATTTAATTTCCATCTCCTGGTCTTAGGTTTTTGAAATTTTTTTAAATGTAATATGAAAATAAAAAAATTATTAAATATTATTTTTAAAATATTGTATGAATTAAATATTGTTTACAATTAATCTCTTGAACATGCCAAATGCGAAATGCCCATAACATTGACCCTTGGTTCTGTTTTCGGTTAAAACATACTGTCGTCCTTGGTTTTACTTCTTTTTTTTTTTTTAATTATTGGTATATATTATATAGGGTAAAACATATCATTAATCACTCAATTATAGTTATATTTTTAAAATAATTATTTAATTATTAATTTTTTAATTTAATATATGAGTAAATATTTTTTTCATCGTCAAGTAATCAGCTTCTAAAATCATAATGATATGACAATATAACATTGTATGTAAAATGTCATATGATATTACTATATCACTTAATAGATAATTAGACATTGTCACAGCATTTTACGAATCATGTGATAATATAACATGACACTTGATATGATATTGTTACATTAATATATTGTTATAATGGTATTGTTACATTTAATATGTTGCTAGAAATTAATAAGGGTGATCAGATAAATATTTACTAAAATTTAGGTAATTAAATTAAAAAAATTAATAATTAGATGATTTTTTAAAAAATACGAAAATAATTAAGTGATCAGTAAATTATAATATAAAAATAGTTAATATTTTCTAGAATAAAAACAAAACAGAGTAATCAGTGCCAGTTTTTTTTTATTATTACTATTATTGTTGTAGGATTATTTATGTATTACTAGTTAATAGTAGTAATATTTTTCATTGGAAGAGAATAGATATTAGTTAGTAGTTTCATTGTAGGGTTATTACTTTCAGTGTGGCTTCTCATTTGGAAACCAAAAAATGTTTGATAGTTCAAAAGTCGGACTTGCAATTCTATTAAACAACTATACACGTGGAATTATTAAAGATTAAAGTTCACATGAACTCTGAACTTGTCCAAATTATTGCTAGACTAATGCTCACCCTTCTTTAAGATACTTCGATCTTGTTGGATACTTGGAGTTAACTAATAATCCAAAGAATTAGCACAGGAACAGGATTGGCCAAACGAAGAAGGAAAGGAGCAGTTTAGTCCAGTGTCTGTTCTAGATTGCCCCTTCGATGATGAAGAAGAAGAAGTAGACAATAGCTCTCCTTTCCAAGATCAGTTGGCCCGTGTGGAAGGTCCCTCTCTCCCTTAATCTCTGTCACTGATCTCTGTCTCTCTGTCGTTTATATATCTTAATTTAACAAGAATATATAACATTTTTGGTTTACAACAGGAACAAAACAAAAGCTCATGCAAAAGATTCGAAGGTTTGAGAGCCTGTCTCAGCTGGAGCCAGTGGACTTGGAGAAACGAATTGCATTGGCTGAGCTTGAAGATGAATCGCTTGAATCCCACAGGGAAGTGCTCTGCTTAGTGTCTGTCAACAACAACGGCAACATGTCCGATTACCAAGATAAGGAAGAAAAAGATAGAGAAGCAAATGAGAAACTACTTAAGCTGTTGAAATCGAAAATACCATCAGACAGTTTCAAGTTTATGGCTGATAATCTACTGTTAGATTTCTTTAGGGAGAGATTAACGGTGGAAAATAATGCTAAACGGCTTGCTGATATGGGACTTGAAGAGTTTGGGCTCGACTTATTAAAGGTGGCAGAGGATTGGGTTAATGGGAATCCTCAAGAATTGGTTCTAGGATGGAAGTTGCAGGAAAGTAGAAAAGCAAATGTGAAAGAAATGGAGAGAAATGAAAATTGGAGAAACTTCAATGAAGAAAAGGAAAAGATGGGATCAGCGGTAGAGCATGAGGTTTTCATTTCGCTGGTGGATGAGCTATTAACTGATCTCTTTTGACATTTGTTTGACTAATTTCTGTTTGAGACTTTTGAGTTCTATATTATGAAAAAAAAAAAAAAAACTTTTTGTCTCATTTTGTATGTATGCACATATGAATACATTTGTCATGCTAAAAAAAATGAGTTCCCAAGTAAGAAGCCCAAAACCAAACAGAAGTGTTAATTTGGGGTAGAAAAGTTCAGGGAAAGGCTTTCCATGTAGCCCAAATAATGTTAAGCATTCGGTTAGATTCATTTTGAATTAAATTATTTAAATTAAATTATTTTATTTTTATTAATCAATTAAATTTAATGTCAAATTAGTTCGATTAATTTTTTTATTAATCGAATAATAAATATATTTAAATTAAATTAAATTTTAAAATTTTAATTTTTTATATTTTAAATAAATTAAATAAAATTATCTAAATATCAAAATATTATATTAAAAACTTTAATAATTTATAAAATTAAATGATATATTTGATATGTTTTTTTATTTTATATTTGAATTATATTATATTTTGATTAATTTGATTAATTTAATTTTTAAATTAAATTAATAATAAATAATAAATAATAAATTTTATTATTAATTAATTAAAATTAATTTAATAATTGATAAATTAATTAAATTAAATCGATTAAATCGATTAATTTAATTAAAATTAAATTATGAATACCTCTTGACAGCTTGACTCCATGACGACTCATTTTGACACGTGGGATTTTAGCTTGCAAATCTTATGACGGGATCAAGTTTTTGTTACTGAACAACACTGTCGGTGTTCTTGTTGCTTCTTATAACTTCCTGCAAAAAAAATTATTTCTTTTTTTACTCGAATTGTATAGAAAAATGCATTTGCTTTACTTGTTAGACAAATTTGCTTACCCCATATAGGAAACATTTGCATAGCTTCGTGATACTAGTAACATTATTATAAGAATAATAATGGGGTAAGCAGGAATTACTATAGCCACCCCCTATATCTGGTTTGTAGAATCAGGAATTACTATAGCCACCCGCTATTTTTTTATAAGATTAATTTGATAAAATAAAAAAAAAAGATTTGACAATAAAATTAATTATTATAATAATATAATTAAAATTAAATATTTTTATGAATGTAGTGATTGTAAAAAAATATATGATTATCTTAATTAATTTTATATTAAAATAATCGATTATCTTAAAATTCAATGAATAGCATTTTTTTTTTATTAAAAGGTAACGAGATAGTACTATTGAGACTCTCCAATTATACCATCGACTCTAGTGCATCCTACGGTGCAATTGATACACTGAAACTCCAAACGAAGTTTACGTTTCAACGACCTGTCGACCACGGCAACTTTCCTTGTGTTAGAAAATCGGGGATGGTTAGCTTTTGTGGATCCCACTCTTCTAGATGCAGGCCCCAGCATTATCCTCCAGGACACGTGGCTTGAAATGGAAATATCTAGCTTATGACCGGAAATTCAGTTTCTTACATGTCGCGTTCTTTTCAGTTTCCCATGAATTCACCATCATACCAACCCCACCGCACCGTATATAATTTTTCTTTTTTCCCTTCCATTTTGTATTGGTTTATAGTAATTCTAATATGTATTTGGAGATATGAAAACGTGGAACAATGTGATAGGCCAGTTGTTTTCCATTATTTATAAAATTATAATTTTTAAAATTTTTTATTTATTATAGTAATATTCTCAAAACTATTTACAAATATAAATAATCATATTTTTTTTATTACATTAATCAGATTGTTTTTGAGTCAAAATAAATATTATTAAATATTTAAAAGAGAAATAATCAGTTTTTTTTTTTAAATTAATTGGGAAAGCTCTAAATTTTTACTTCTATCAATTAAAAATAAAGATTGAATTAAAATACTTCTATCAACAACTATCAAGACTTGAAATTATTTATTTTTGTCATGACAAAAAAATTGAATATAGGTTCCTTTTTTATATATATTTAATATAATTTTTTAATTTCATATTAAAAATTAATGAATGTGTTATTTTTAATTAATTTTGTATTTTTAAAAATTTTACTGTAAATAAAATAATTTATCTTAAATTTAAATATTAAATGCTTTTAAATAAGAAAAATCACTTTAGATTTATCGGGAATTGATAAATATAAAATTCAAGAGTACATGTGATTTCGATAGGGGAAAATCCCTGCAAATCCAAAAGTCAAAAGTCTCCTGCTATAAATGAGATACTAGTATCTTTGATTACATGTTCTCGAGAAAACAATTTTCTCGAGAATTTGCAGAGAAACCCCCACCTAAACAAAAGGTGCTGGGGGCTTATCTCGAATGACTTCCTGCTCTTTGTCTACACGGAAATGATTTATTTTGCTCTCCTCTTTATAAGTCTGAAGCCCTGTTGCCACCTTCCCAAAGAGAGAAAGAAACACAAAAGCCTCACACTCAACAAATCTCTCTAGCTCTAAGGGTAATAAAATAAACGAGGAAAACGTTATTTGAAGACCCTTTTTCATCTGTTTTTCGGAGCTTTATTCACTTTTTTCATTGAGGGGTTCAATTTAGTTTTTGGGGTTGAGGTCGTTGTTTGGTAAATTAAACGATAAAGCCTTGTTGGAAGGAGATGAAAAGCGAGGATCAAGCAAGGTCTTTGTTTGGGATTTCCCTTACAGATAGACCAAAATGGCAACAGTTTCTTATTTGTTCATCTGGGTTCTTCTTTGGTTACCTTGTTAATGGCGTATGTGAGGTTTGGTCTTCCTATTTTTACCTATTATTTAAACCTTTTTTGCGGTGTTGAATGAGCAAAAAGTTTTATTTTTTTTATTGTTGTTTTGAATCGATCTTTTTATTTGCAATGGTTTCTTGACTCTGCATGTGACCAATTCCCAGCCATGCATGCCGCGTTTTTCTTTTTCTGGGTTGCCGAGAAAATTGCAGAAAGGGAAGAGAGTTAGGAAATGCTAATAGTATTACATTTTTGTATTTATCTATTGTTTGGTTGTCAAAAGTTGGCAATAGATTAGTTGAAACGTCGGTCTCAAGTAGTTCCTCTCTGTTTGCCATTTCATTGCTTTGATCAGTTGATTTATAATATGGTCAAATGATTCAATGAATACATTTAACTGCTTCATTGGATTTAAATTCCCATTTCAATCTTATAAAAAAAATCCCATTTCAGTGTGATAATTGATGTGTTCTTTTGCTTGTTTGTAGGAATATGTGTATAACAGGCTTCAGTTCAGGTACATTCATAATAAATTTCCCCTATTATCTACATTTTTGGTTTATGTTTCTTGAAATATGCCAGCTTTCGCTAGTATACTTGGATTTCTCTTGACTGAAATGTTGCAAATGTTTCAGCTATGGATGGTATTTTACTTTTGTACAAGGATTTGTTTACCTGATATTGATACGGCTTCAAGGTTTTACTATGAAGCAAATGGTCAATCCATGGAAAACATATGTGAAACTTTCTGCTGTTCTCATGGGTTCCCATGGATTAACCAAGGGTTCATTGGCTTACCTGAACTACCCTGCACAAATTATGTTTAAATCTACCAAGGTAATGAGTCATGGAATTTGTGTAAATATTGCTTATTTCTATCCTTTCTTTGGCTAAATAAAGAAAATTTCTTGAACTAAAGTTTATCAGAATTCAAAAATGTTTATATTTTTCTTTCTGAAGCTGTTGTAGCATACTGCAATGCAATTTAAGATGCAGGTTATTTTTTTTTTCCTTTTAAATGACTTCTGTTATGGAATTTTAGGTACTGCCAGTTATGATTATGGGTGCCTTCATCCCTGGCCTGAGAAGGAAATATCCATTTCATGAATACATCTCTGCTCTGCTTCTTGTTGTTGGTCTTATCCTTTTCACCTTAGCGGATGCCCAAACATCTCCGAATTTTAGCATCATTGGCATTATAATGATTTTGGGTGCTTTGATTATGGATGCCTTTCTGGGTAATTTCCAAGAAGCAATTTTCACCATGAATCCTGGCACAACTCAGGTAGCTATAAAATTTTCTTATTTCTGTTTGTAACGAAAACAATCACTAATACAGTACTGATAATTTTATGTCTATGCTTATGTATTCATTTTCTTCTACAGATGGAGATGTTGTTCTGCTCAACAGTAGTTGGGACTCCTTTCTTACTTGTGCCAATGATTCTAACAGGAGAGCTCGTTAGGGCCTGGAATTCTTGTTCTCAGGTAAAGAGCACTGCCCTGCCCTCCCCCTCCCCACTTCCCCTCCCTCTCCCTTTTTTTATTTTGTTTTATTGATTTAATTCTATCTTGCACACCCCCCTGCCCTGCCAGGGGCCAAGGGTGATAAAATAACATTTTATTATGTGACTTATTAAACAAGAAAGTAATGGTTCGAAGTTATGCACAACGTAGGCACTAGTTCCTAACAAAATTATTTTTATTGGAGAAATCAATGATTTGGTGGTTGACCATTGTATTCAGGCATATGAAGGAATACTGTCATTCTTTAGATTGGACATGGGAGTAGCTGATATCTAGTAGATGTTATGGGAAAATTATTTCCACTATGTTATAAAAATATTTGCAAATCTCCATTGCAAAATGACAATTGACATTCTCCTGGGACCAACAGAAGTTTATTAGTTTTATTTTGGTGGTCCTAGTAAATAACCCCCTACCAAGCACGCACACACATGTGCAAAGGCATTTAAAGGCTACTGATATCATTCTACTTGCATCTTGTCTCTTGCTTCTCTGGCTTGATCCTAATAAAAAATTATTTCTAACAGCGATGAACTCCTAAATTGTGGCTCCTTTTTTCTGGACATTCATTTTCAATATTCTGATTATTACCATAATCTCTTGTTGCTAATGATGTATGTGATTTATGTCAATGAATACCAGCATCCATATGTGTATGGGGTGTTGATATTTGAAGCCATGGCCACATTCGTTGGTCAAGTGTCTGTATTATCCCTCATTGCTATCTTCGGTGCTGCTACTACTGCGATGGTAAAATATACTTGTAATTTTTTACATATCTTGCTTTTCTAAATGATCCATTCTCAACTATTTCATGATTTCATTTAACTACTGGTTTTCTTGTTGCACCTGCTTGTAGATAACAACTGCTAGAAAAGCTGTCACTTTGTTGCTGTCATACATGATATTTACAAAACCATTAACTGAACAGCACGGGTCAGGGCTGTTGCTCATAGCCATGGGAATCATATTGAAGATGTTGCCAGATAGTAAACCGGCACCTAGGATTCCAGTATCAAATGTAAATGCCAAGCATCATCCAGAAACCTCTCCCAAAGAAGATGAAGAGAGAGAGCCCTTAGTCTGAAAAATAATGTGCAATTATTCAGGGCTCCAGCCCCTAGGTCAAGTTTGCCATATTTTTCTGTCTCTTTCAAATGTTCTCCTATTCAGTTCAGCAATTCATTTATTTCCTTACTGCATCACTTGCATTATAAACAAAATAAAAAGGAAAAGGTTACTGTTGCTGTAGGCTGTAGCATATCTGTAAGAGTTGGTTGTACTCTTTGATGCTACAAAGAGTTGAATTGGTAAATGGCCTATCGTTGCACACGGAAATGTTGGGGGGTCCTGAAAAAGCAGCTATTGTTAGCAACAAAATGTTATGTTAATTATTTGAGTTTGCAAATTGAATTTTTTTTTTTAATTTTACGAGTGAAATTAAGAAAGTGGAAGAATAATTTTTTAAAATTAAAATTAAGGGTAAAACTTTATGTTTGTCTTAAATTAAAATTGAGGTTATGTTTTTGTCTTAATCTTCTTTCCGCAAATTAAAAAAAAAAAAAAAAGACTCATTGGAGTTTGATCTAAAAATCTGATTGGAGGGTATTCATCAAATCCGTGATTGTTTTGATTCCGGTATCCTATCCAGCATTCCGGTGGCACTGCTTTCACCCTATGGGAAGAAAACGACGTGTCGTTTTGTTTATATGCGTAAATGGGCCACGTGTATCTGACAGTATAAAGGCCACGGCCCTGACAAACAAGCACGTGGCCCACAGTTCTTAGGAAACCAATCCCACGGTCCCAATTAAAATTCTAGTTCCCCACCTGATCGGACGGTCATAATCAACCATTCCGATTTAAAATCTTCCATTTATTAATCCCAAATTAAACGAAGTCCCTCTCTCTTTCAGTAGCCTGAAACAAAAGCCATCAAAACATATTTGTTTTTTCAACCCTAAAAACCATCCCTTGTTTTTAATCTTCATTGAACCGCCCAATCTCACCATGAAAGGAACGAAGCGGTTTGCGTTATCTGGCTCGGCCGCCGATACTAACGATTCTGCTGTGAGTTTTCTGAAATTTCACAGTTTTTTAATTAATTAAAAAAATTTGCTTCATTGTTTCTTAGCCTGAATTGATAGCATAACCCTAATTTAATGATCTTTGTTTGTTTCTGTTCTTCTCAATGCTATGGTGAAGAAAGCGGGCATTTTTGGTGAGATTTTGTTGATAACGTTTTGTGGGTTTAATTGAGTTGCATAGTTTTATTGATTAGGAAGTGAATGAGCTATAAACCAAAGAACAAATGTTGAAATTTGAATCTTTTGCTTTTATTTTTTTAGTTTTTCTTAGCTGGTGGCAGGTATTTTAGGAAGATTGAAAAATTTTTTTTTTGAATTTTCAAGAACGGACTTGAGGTTGATAGAAGCTGAGCCTCAAAGTGTTGAACTTAGCTTTCATTGTCAGTATATTGTTTCAGCTGCGGTTTTTCTGATAGATGATGCTATAGATATAATTTTTAGCAAAGCTGAGAAAACCATCCGAACAATGAGCTAGAGCAAATTAGTTTCATGTATGGAATAAAGGAAACCAGAGAAGAAAATCCGATTTCAATGCTGTGACTGGAAAGAAGAATGATTTTAACTAGTTTTTTACTTGTCAAAAGATAAGGGTGTGCACGCATTGTTTGAAAGGGAGGGGGGGGGGGGAATGATTATGGCTATCCTGTATAAATTATAAATAGTGGGTTGTTATCATTAGATTTTTTGGTGCATCTGTCATGTTGAGGCTTATCATATATTCATCAATGGTGGTGCAGTTCTGGAATAAAAGAATAATGGCAGGATCTCCTTTTGATGCTCAAAGGGCAGAACCATCTCAACCGCAGTTGACTGCAACACCGCCACTAGACCCGCAGCAAGCAGAGTTGTCTCAGCAGCATGTGAGAGTTCTCAACACTCAATTTGCGAGGTCTTATCTCTCTATCTACTTTATTCTGTGGTGTTTTATCAACTTACTTTTGCTATGTACGTTTGTGATGACTAAGTGATGCGATCTTTTGCTACTTATAAAACATGTTTGATGTATTTAATATTCTTTCAAGCTTTCTGTATTAATATTTTATCGGTCCTTAGAGTAGCCAAGTTTCTTGCTTCTCTTGTCCTTGGACCAGACTAAACTTATAGATTTGTATTTATGTCTCCATAAGAACATTTTATTTTAACAGTTGGGTGCAATCACAACTGAAGAATCATCCTGATGAGCTTTGGCAAGATGGTGTTCAAGACTACCTAACTCATGCTTCAAATATTATGGTAATTTCTGATGGTTTTTCTTCAACTTGAGAAATATTTATGGTTATGTTTGTACAGTTGATGTGACTGTATTTGATTGCAAATTTTAGGGCTATACTGTTGATTGGTTAAGCTCTGACTTTAAAGGACTTTGTTTTGTAGCTTCATGCTACTTTTGTTTCTATATGTGATCTACTTACTTTCAATAATTCATTGATTTTGTTAACCCCTTGTGCGCTAAGGAGTTTAATATGGTTTCTTCAAGTAATTTCTTGATGAGAATCAAATTAATGCTAGTTCTCATGCTTGATTCATGTATCAGTACTTTGCAATTGGGTATTACTTGCTCAGGCCATGCACCTTTTAGATGACAATAAATCAGAGGCAATTATATCATTCTACTAGCAGTTTTGTTGACAGCTCGAGTTTGATTATATGTGTATTTTGAAATTCTCATACCCATCATCTAACCATGAATTGATAGGCTAACTTGGGCTTGTATTGCAGATAACCCTTGTTTGAGTATCTGTGACTTGTAATAATGTTCAAATTCTAGTATACAAGACTAGACTACATAAATGCAAGACATAATGATTTTTGTTTGCTAACTCGAATGGTATACCCCATTTCCTCTTTTGCAGGAGAAGTTCACTGATGTTGTCAACTGGCTCAAAGCAAATGCTGTAAATGGTGACAGCCTGTCTGCTGCTGAATCTTGTAAAAATGAAAGTAAAGTGGCGCCTGAAACCGAGAATCCTGAGGCTAAATTTTTTCAAGGAAAAACTGGATTTACTCCAACCAGCACAACTACAGGCTTTAGTCAAGGCACTACAAACATGAGCTTTTCTTCGGGCTCTACAGCTAGGAACCTTTCTCTGGGCACTACAAGTACAAGCCATACTCCAGCTGATATGACTGAATTATTTTCTCCAGCGGATACAAATTCAAGCTTCACCTCAGCTAGTTCAACTACAAGCTTTATGACAGCAGGTTTAAACTCAAGCTTTACATTTGGTGGTACGACCACAAATTTTACTTCAGTCAGTGCAACAACTGGCTTTTCTTCATCTGTCAATACTACGAGCTTTGCAGCTCCTTGGAGCTCTGGAGTAATCTCCAATAGTCAGATTCCTGTCTTGTTTGGTAGGTGTTACATTGACTTTCTACAACAAATATTTATACCAAGGATTTTAGTTGTAACATTGGACATTATTAGCTTGAAGATATTAAGACAATTGCACATGCCTTTTTATAAAAAAACAAAAGTTTTTAGAGGCAACCTCGATTGAAGTCAAGAGTTTGGATGCTATTTATGTCATTTTTGTCAGATTGATATATATTTAACATCCTATATTGGTATTTCCAGGAACTCAAAGCTCTGTTACTGTGAACAACACTGCATCAGATGACGCAGATGATGGTGAGACAATGAAACTTTACCTTTTGTTCCTTGTTTGCTGGATATTCTTTATGTTTTAAGCCATTACTTCATTAAATTCAACCTTGTCATGCAATTTTTTTCTTTTCGTCCCTTAGTTATTTCTTTTTGTTGGTTTGAAGTAGATAGGTTAACTTTTGCACTCTATCTCTTCTCTCCCAACTTTTTATCTTCTTTCCCTATTTCTCATTACTTGCGTGGTAATGAGTGTCATCTTGCATTGTCAGAAAATGAATTGCCACAGCCTAGCAGCCCATCAGTGAAGAAGTCAGAAGAGAAGGGTATTGTTGTTGTTCATGAAGTCAAATGCAAGCTTTATGTCAAGGTATACCCTCTGAAAACTTGTATTCAGTAGCGATTTATAGATCTGCCTACTCTTGACTTGTAATTGGTCTGACTTTTTCTTGTGTAATATCTTTCCCTCCCTTTTTTTATGTCAGTCAACCGATCCAGCAGATAAAGATTCATGGAAAGATAAAGGCACAGGGCAACTTTCCATTAAATGCAAAGAGGGTATCAGCAAGGGTTCAAAAGATTCCAAACCAACAATTGTTGTTCGAAATGATGTATGCTTCTTCGTGGGCACGTATTGGTTTTAGAAATTTGATTCATGCATGAGCTGTTGTTCAGTTAGAAGATATGAGATAAGTCACATTTAACTAGCTTTAACTTCCATAACCATCTATTGGTTGCAGGTGGGAAAGGTTTTACTTAATGCTTTGCTATATCCTGGGATCAAGACAAGTGCACAAAAGAATTCCCTTGTTGCAATATTTCATACTTCGGTAATATATTTGAAAGCCAAATATTTGGACATTTTGGACATTCGATTTTCTACTTTGGTATTTCATGCTGTTCTGATCAAGTGTCAAACTTTATCGGATTATTCTTATTTTCTGTTTACAAAGATACTTAGCACAGCTTCTTGACAAAGCGGCAGCTGGCATTCTTTATTCCATCTCTCCATTGGTGCACTCACTAGTTTAGGTTGTTGCTTTCCAATTTGTTTATTTATGTCAACATTGGTGCTTTGGTTTTTCAACATGTCAAAGATGTCATTATCAAATTTATCCTCCATTCTTCCAGATTATCATATATAAATATATTCGTGTGAAATACAGTATATACCAAACTCTGTTACATAAACTTTTTATTAAGGGGCTCCAGAGGAAAGGGTTTCGGATGGGAAATTAACATTTTTTATTAGAATGTAGGAAGTAACATTAAGACCCATTGCCTAGTGCACTGCTTACTCTTGAGCTCACAACTTTGGGGTACAAGTTCAATCTTGAGAGCAACTCCTTTTACGAAAAATGCTAAAGACCAATACTGTTTCCATTTTGCCCTCCAGGACCCCACTTTGGTGGGGTCATATGTGGGAATGACCCTTGTAAGCTGCTCAATAGGTTGAGATTGTTAATAAATGTCTATATAAAGTGTTAAGCAGGCAGCAACTGTGCAGTGACCCTCACTGACTTGGAATTTGGATGTGGAATTGGTGACAGTCTGACAGATATATTGGTAGTTAGAATATTTCACTCTTCTAAAATAATTCCCTATAGTTTTATTGTACCAAAAGAAGGTCTTATTTTTTTTATTTATATCCAAATAAGCTCTTATTTCAAACATAAGATTGATTTATGTTAAGGGCTTATTTAGGTATAAATTAAAAGCTAACAGCTTATTTGGATACAAATTAAAGTTTAAGGACTTATTTTAGTGTAAAGCAAAGGTTAAAGGTTTATTTGAGTGCAATAAAAGTATTAGGGTTCATCTAAGTAAATGGTAAAGTTCAGAGATATTTTTTTTGTTATTTTAGCCTAGAATCTTTTATGAAAGTATTGATATTTATCCAGGTATGACAGTCTTTTTAGCATAAACCTGTCTGACATGTAAGGATTTAGCTTCAAAATCTTTCTTGCAGAACTTGACCATGTATATTATGTTTTAAGTTGTTAACATTGTAGAGTGACTTCTCTTGGATTTTGTAGGATGATGGCGGCAATAACGATAATTCTGTGGCACGTACATTCTTAATTAGAACAAAATCAGAGGAGGACCGAAACGAACTGGCAACAGTAATCCAAGAATATGCCCCTGCATCATAAACTGTAGGTGACATAAGATTATTCCATCATTTTGAGCTCCAGCAAATATAATATAATCCTGAATGATTGCACTTTTCCAGGATCTTACTCTATATTTTGCCAGGATCAGCTTCGTAGGGACTAGACCAGCTTATTGTAGGTCCAAAAGCAACAGAGCCTATTTACATAGTCAAACTCATGAGATTATTGTATGCCCACAGCAGTTGTACCATAAACAGAAATTACGGTGGTTATATTTTGCTGCAAAATCCTGAGGAACTGTTGTTTCTATTATTATTATTATTCCTATTCAATCTGTTGGCTGCCTGTATCAAGCATTTTTAGAAAGTTACTCCACAAAATCCCCCTTTCATTGGTGTTGGTCATGTCAGCTGCATCTGCGTATCTCGTTCGTACAGTGATGTAAATGCCAGTGCAGTAGTGCACTAGTATTGGTATTTCTGGTATGCATAGATGGCAAGGAAGTTCTAGCAAGTTGTATCTCCGTATCTGTTAACAAAAATTTCATTTCCTGTTGGTCTGTCTGGGTTCCCCTTGTTCTTCGCATGAGATGCATTGATTGCAATCCCCATCAGCAGCACGTTGTTTTATTGCCATTTTCTTTCATAACCCAACAATGAAGAATTTCTGCTATTGACCTCGGTACCCCGCTTGACGTTAGGAAGCATTTTTTGTTATTTCTATTTCAATTTAATGAGCTTTTAAATTCTTGTTTGTATCCAGCGTTTGTAGTCCAACGGTTAGGATAATTGCCTTCCAAGCAATAGACCCGGGTTCGACTCCCGGCAAACGCACTTCTTTTTTTTTTGGTACAAGGGCTGCTTCTTAGAGATGAATCAGAAGTTCTAGACTATTTCATCATGTGACTCGGTACATATGCCAATTTCAATCCTTCAAAATCAGAAAAGCATCATCACTCAAAACACAACATCAATTAAAGCAAGCAGATTCCCTGTACCAGAGCTCATCTCCTCAGATTTGATAAATATATCATATCTGCATCTAAGTTCCCGGCTGTCACATTTTCTTTTTTCTGTTTCTGTCAATATCAGTATAGGTAGTTGTTCCCTTTTGCCCAGCAGTATGGTCAGTCTTGTATAAACATTTCTAGCAGACAAGTGATGATCAAAGCGATGGCGCGGTGGGAATATGAGTACAGGATGCCCAACGGATTACTGACTCAGTCACCATGAGATGAAAGTGATCAATCTCACCAAGACCGATAGTGTGATTCCTTTTACTATGAATGCCTGCAAGGCGGGATCCATTGGGTCCTCCCCTACGAAATTTTGTTTTTTCTTCCACTGGAACTGAAGAATCTGGCAACTTAGATAGCTTTACTAAGTTTGATTCTGTGGAGTGAAAGAGAGAAGTCAGCATAGTGTTACGTTGGAGAAGTAAAAATCATGAAAATTTACATTGTTTCTTCCACGATGACTGGGGTTATCCCCATTAACCTATTTGTGGCATTCCCTATCAATTGTTTTAGATTTAGCTGTCATTTTCATTACGACAAACAGCCACAAGTATCAAGTTCCATAAGCCATTTTTCTTAGTTTAGTTTTCCAATCAAAAGCGAAAGAGCTGACTCTAGCAAATGAGTAAAATGAAAACAAATACCTCCATATTCATCACCCATCTTTGATGTCCCGACTTTAGTTTCCACTGAAATACTTAGTGGTTCAACAGCAGCTATTGGACTGAAGAAAGTAAAGCTCGGCATTGATGGAATTGGGGATGAAAATTCTGGTGCACTTGATTGACAGCAACTGCTAAATGAAAAACCTTCAGATTCAGTGCAAGAACTGCCATTTTCAACTAAGAAAGAAGAAAACAATGATTTGCAAATGAATGCAGGTGTTTCCAGCTGGCCATCAGTAGATACAGGTGATCCATCGGTAAAGCTATAATCCTGATTTCTTTTGATGAACAGTGCAGAGAAAGAACTTCCTCCTACTTCGAGCTCTCTGCAAGCATGTTTGTTGTGCTTGTTTGCTTCTTGAACTACCTGTCTGCAATCCTCCACCCAGGGGTGAGCTGTGAAGGGCAGTGACTTATTAGAACCTATAAATTGGAACAACCCATGCATCTGAAGTTCTTTCAACTTCCAAGTGATAACCTAATGGTCTAAAGAGTGAGGATAGCATTCTGTTTTCTCTTGATTAAAACATGACCAGTAGTATGAAATTAATTTGTTAAATGATTTGTTAATTATTAGCTTATTTTTTACCTTTTTACTTTCATGAAACAAGCTTACCAAATTACAAGTTTCAAAGCCTCTTAATAACTTGCTATGCAATTATGGCATTCATCCATCAACTTACCCAGAACCTGTGCAGCAGTGAGCCTCTTAGCAGGATCTACACAAAGCATTCCAGTGATCAAATCCCTGGCAGACACAGAGATGTGATCCCATGGATCAGGAGGGAATCTTAGATCGGCAGCCCTAACAGCATCAAAGATCTTTGATTTAGTCTTCCCCCCAAAAGGCGGCATTCCACTTAGAAGAATATACAAAATAACTCCTGAACTCCAAACATCAGCAGCTTGATTATAACCCCCTGTCAAAACCTCTGGGGCTATATAGAATGGGCTACCAACAGTACCTTGCAAATTTTGCCCTGTTAACATGAAACCAAAATTCTTTCATCACAAAAATCAGTGATCAACTGTTGCCTTCAAGATGCACCAAATGAAATTAAAAAAGAATAGAGACCTTACCCTGTCTTATATAGGTAGCAAGACCAAAATCTGCCAGTTTAATTGGAGAGGATGAGGATTTAGTTGCTAAGAGAATATTTTCCGGTTTTAGATCTCTATGAACAATGCCATTATCATGACAGTACTTGACCACTTGCATCAAATGCTTAAAAAGAACGCGAGCCTCAAACTCTGAAAACCTTCCATATTTCTCAAGCCTGTGGAAAAGTTCCCCTCCTGCGCATAACTCCATAACCAAGTGCACAAAGTCCTCATCTTCATAAACTGCCTTGAGATCCACAACATTTGGGTGTCCGGATAACTTAGACATTATTTCAATCTCAAGCTTGATGCTGCTGAAATCATCTGGTGTGACCAACCTATCTTTAGCAATGGACTTGCAAGCCAAAACCTCACCAGTTAACTTATCCGAGCAGGCCCTAATCACACCAAACTGCCCCCATCCTAATTGCCCCCCAAGAACATACCGACCTCTCAGATTAGATATTTGTGTTGCGTCCAAAATTGTCTTAGTAATGCTTGCAACTTTGTAACAGTTGCGGAATCCTATTGAAGGAAGACGGATGTTCTCGCTAGTGGAAATTTCCATGCCAATGAGGGGCAACTATAATTATAGAAAAACACCTGTCAAGACCTTACTACCAACAGCAAATAGATACTGAATTACCATATTTTCTTCTCAGTTTTGCAATCTAATCTATGAGTTAGCAGAAATCTTAGGCCAGACATGAGATCAATTATGTGAAACAACCCATTTACCAAAAATATATAAAGAAGCAACTTCTGACGTGCGCTTCTCAGTTCTCATGATATGTAGTTAAACTCTTACCATGGAAAACCTTGTTGACCCACTTCATAAACTGAAAATTTTCAACAGCCACAATCCCAGAAATGAGAAATCTTTAATCGAATCAGCTACTGCAAAACATGCAACTGTGAATTTCAGACAACTTGCTTAAACCCCAAGATTCTGGGTATTTTTTTTTTTTTTGTCAACTTTTTTCTATAGCTTATTAATATTCCTCTTACTTAGTTGCAAGATACAGCAAAATTCAATCTAAAACCATTCTTCAAATTCTCTTTGCAGATCCATAACTAAATCTAGACATAGCATAGAAAAGTAAACCTCCCAAAGCAAAAGTCAGACCATAGCTCTAAAACCCACAACCTTAACCTCCCCAAAGGAACCCATAGTAGAAATCATAACATAACAAAAGATAAGAATACAACATACTTCACAAAAGAACCATACAACCCAATAATGAAACACAATCACGAACTACCAAAAACAAGAAATCCCAGCAAAATTTACATAAGAAAAAGAGATAAAGTTGAAAGTTTTTCAACTAAACAAAAGTCAAATGCATCAAAAGAACACACATTTTTCAATCATCAGAAGGAAAGAAGAGCCTGACCAGCTTAGCAAATGCGTTGAATAAGTACATACTATGTTTTATGGCAAAGTCTTCAGTTTTTTTTCCAGGGTCCGAAAACAAGTCCATGGTCTCTTTCTGGTTCAAACAACATATCCCACCTGCGACCGGCGACCCAAGGAACCTGTTTCCATGTTCATGGTGCCATTATTTTGATATTACTATTTTCTTTTTTATGCCTTTTTTTGTAGGAATATTAAAGCATTACCCAATAACATGCAAGATAAAAAGGAGCACAATCAGCACTTCAGCTCGCCACGTGTCCCATTCTCCATTACAACTAGTTGGTGATCTGGATCCCACAAATTTCATTATTTTATAACTTTATATTTATATTTTTTATTTAATTTTTAAGTACAAAATAGAATATCAAATATTTTGGTAGAATACAACGTGTAACGCTATATAACATTCCCCATCAGAGAGAGGGTCCCAAAAAACTTATACCATTGCTTAAATATGGAGCTGAATGCTGAACGCTGAATGTTGTAGTGGGTCCCAAATGATTGTCTTGCCACGTGGGTTGATATTACTGGTCCTTGGGAGTACAATTACTGTACAATGTACAGAGATGTTGGAAGTTGTTTATTAGATTGGTCCCCTACAAGTACAGGGAAAGTATTGGTTTAGAAAAAAGGAGTCAAGCTTTTCCAATTCATGCTCTGATTCTGTGCGCTTTCTTTTCCTCCTTTAAAAATGCTTTGCTATGTACTTTTACAACCAGCCCAATTCTATAAATTTTTTACACGTGTCAAATTATCATAAACTGTTAATCATTTTCTTAAGAAAATATTAACGTGACTACGTAATTTAGCTTACTGGAATTATAGTACTTTTATTGATTTGATATTTATAAAAAAATTTATGATTAAATATTTGAATTTTGTTTTTATTAATTATTTTTCATCATTGTTTAATATTATTAATCAAAATGCTGATATAATAAATACTTATCGATACAAATATATTATGTGTCATGATGTTAGTTTTTTTTCTACATCAATTTATTATTAATAAAATTAATATATAAGGTAAAATGCTTCAAGAAAATAAAGTTCAGATATCTAATTATAAATTTTTTATAAATATAAAATCATAAACAATAATATAATTCAAGAATTAAATCACACATTAATCCAAAATATTATGGCTATATTAGTACTAAGACATTAGGATTTCTAAGGCAATGGAATGTCGATTTGGCATTAACCCTAAACGAAACTTAAGAAGAATTAGAGGCCAAAAAAAAAAAATACTATGTTGGGTATGTTTTGGTTAGAAGTAGAAGGTGAGTTTTACATTGAGGCTTTGTTCAATGAATGTAATGTTCCAACAGAATATGGTATAAGTGAAACTAGGAAACATGGACAAGTTTTTCTCAAGTCTGCTACATTTTATTCATGAAAGTGTGGTATGCATATTCAGTTCATTGTGGGAAAAAATTGGAAGGACATGACCAAATAATGGTATTTACCCACCTAACATGCACCACAACTTCAGCATATTTATAGGACCTTCTTGCTTCTTGGCCTTACCATTTTAATGTTGAAGTGTTTCTTTTAGTTTAATGATACCTTTCATTCTGTTTTTCTCAATTATTGTCATCTCGGCTCAAGAAATTGAAGCCTTGGTCCAATTCTAGATTCTTTTGGGCTCTCAACTTTTAGGATGAAAATTTGGATTTGATACACTTTTGCAAAAATTAAGAAAAAAATTGTCTAATTCCCCCATTTCAATGAACTCTTACCAATTCCAACTCCGTTGATAGACTTAGCCCTTGTTTCCCACTGTTACTTATTCCAAATGACTTGTGCATGACAAGATCCAGGGCCACATAAAATGATTGCCGTAAGGATTAGAGAATAAAGTATAACACCTTTCAACTCTCGACAGTTCGATCTGAAGTGATTCTGACTCAAGTCAGTGTATTGCCCTAAGCCAGTTTCTTCTTTAAGGATTTAATCTGGAACTTACCCTCTAAACAATTTCATTCAATATTAAATTGTTAGACAGCCAACTTTTCTAACAACAATAACATGTCATCTCAGAGGTTGTCCTAAGATTTTGAAGCTTCCATACCTTCATAAAACTGTACATTTCTAAAAAGAATATTGTGCAGAAGAAGAAGTATAGATTGACAGTAATTCATATCCTTTTGTTAAACTTTTTTTTAGTTTATTTGTCGTCTGTCATAGAATAGGGTCGCTGCTTTCCTCAGCCTAGAATTTTAAGTAGTAACAATACCTAAAGTAGTAGGGAGCTCTTTGAAAATGTATCGGCAGCTTCAAGAAACTAAATTCATGAGAAAAAAATGTATATTAACGTGCATATTATCAGCTTTTTAATATTTTTGTTGAAAGGCTGCATCAACCTAGCCCACCCAGTTTCATTTTCTCTATCCTAGCCATTGTCTGGTGGATCTCAGTCTCAGATTCTTGTCTGCTCTTTATATAGACAAACTGACAAGAATATAACCAGAGTACGAGATGGACAAGCAATAAATGAACCTCACTGGAATCACTTTCACTTAACCCACAGCCCGTAATGCATAATGTAAAGGTGGACTAAGGTCAGTTAGATAGCTGGGATTTGATTTATACATGAGTAAAAAATTTTACATCGTTAAAAAATTTAAATAAAATATTTTATATATGCATGAAGAATCCAAAAATTTAATAGCTTAAGCTTTTGAACTCAAGTGATGTTCAACATATATGTATGGGCTCTCTGATATACTCTCATGGGTTCCAAGCGTGGTTTATCTCTCCAACAAGTAGTATCAAAGTTATGGTTACTACAGGTTTGAAAAGTCACGAGTTCAAGTCCTAGTAATATTGCTAAGGAAAAGATTATTGACAGATCAGAGGTTGATCGCATCCATTAATTTTATGTACTTGAACATCGATATTAAAGGAGATTGTTGGCAGATCGGAGGTTGATCTCATTCATCAACTCTATGTGCTTGAACGTCGGTATTAAAAAAAAATTTAACTTGGATGCAATGAGTATATGATAATATGCAAAAATGAAACACCCAAGTGGGCAATGTGTTGAGTCAACCTAGATTGTAAGCTTGAGGGCACTGAGACAACCTAGGTGGCAAGGTTGAGTGCTGTGGCCTGGCCTAAAAGTGCATTAGAAATGTAAGGTTGCCTGGCCCAAAAGAAGTGTTGATAGGATTTAGTAGCACGGGAGAACCGAGGTGGGACTTGATTAGAACTCACAAATGAACGGGAGAGATTATTGGGATATGGTTTATATGTGAGTAAAGAATCTCACATCATTAAAAAATCTGAATGAGATATCCTATATATGCATGAAGGACCCAAAAACATAATAGTTTAAGCTTTTAGGCTCAAATGGTGTTCAACATATATGTATGGACTCTCTGATATGCTCTCATGGGCTCCAAATGTGATTTATCTCTCCAACAATTGATATCAGAGTGATGTTATTTTGAGACAACGATACAGAAGTAGCCCAAGACAGAAGTAAATTTGTTTGAGATTATGGATGGTGATACAGATTCGATGATAAAATTGACAGCATCAAATTATTCAATTTGAAAGCCTATGATGGAGGATCATCTGTACTACAAAGATTTGTATGAGCCAGTATTGGGTGATTCGACTAAATTAGTAAATATGAAAGATGAAAGCTGAAAAAAGTTAGGCAAAAAGATGCTAGCTACAATAAAAAAATAGATTGATATCAAGTGTGTTTCATCATGCAACGTAAGAGGCAGATGCTCATATTGTTTGAAAAAAATTGACAGCATTATATGAGAGAAAAATAAGTATGAATAAAGTTATACCTGTTAAAAAGCTTACAACTTTACAGTATAGGGATAAACGTTCTATTACAGAGCATTTGAGTGATTTTCAAGACATATTTAATCAGATGACTATTATGGAGTTTACGATGGATGATAAAATTAAGGTATTATTTTTTTTTATTCATTACCAAACAACTAGAATACTCTAGTTGTGACTGTTCTTAATTCAGCTCCTGATTATAAGGTGACATTGGAGATGATAAAAGACAGTGTGCTTAATGAAGAAGTAAGATAAAAAGATATAGACCATAAAAATCAACTCTGGTCATAGAGAACATGATAGAAACATCGACAGAGGTCAGAACTTAAAAGGCTATAGCAAGTGTAAACATAGATCCAAGACCAGAGATAAAATGAAGTGTTTTCATTGTGATAACTAGGTCATATAAAATGACACTATAAAATCATGAAGCAAAAGTAAAAAAATAAAAAAGATAAGAGTTTAGATGATGATAATGTTACAGCAGTGAATTCAGATAGTGATTTAATTACTTTGATTTATACACATGGTGATTGTAATCATGTTAGTGATCATGATATTGAGTGGATAGTAGACACATGAGCGGTATATCATTGTGTTTCTAAGAAAGAGTTGTTTACAACTTATAAAGCAGGAGACTTTGATTTGATTTGTACACATGGTGATTGTAATTATGTTGGTGATCCCGACATTGAGTGGATAGAAAATACAAAAGCGATATATCATTATGTTTCTAAGAAAAAAATGTTTACAACTTACAAAGCAGAAAACTTTGGTTGCACCAAGATAGAAAATAAGAGTGTATCATAAATTATTAAGATTGATAATATTATTGTATAAACTAGTATAGGCTGCATGTTAACTTTGAAGAATGTCAGACACATTTCGAATATGAGAATGAACTTGCTTGCTATTAATATCCTTGATAAGAAAGGATATGAGAGTTAATAAAAGAATGGGTAGTGAAAGCTTCTAAAAAGATATATAGTAGTTGCAAGAAAAAAACTATACTGTACAATGTATAAGATATGGATGCAATTGAATGGCAGCCAGATAAATACCGTTGAGGATAATGCTTAAAAAAACTTATGGCATAAAAGATTGACGCACATGAGTGAGAAGGAGTTACAAGTTTTGGCAAGACAGTCTCTCATTATCTTGACCAAAGGTATGTCCCTCGATTCATGTGATCATTGTTTGTTTAGTAAGCATCGTAAAGTTTTTTTTCGTAAGAGTGATCTCATTGAAATTGATTTATTCTGAAATATGTGATCCCATTGAAGTTGAGTCATTAGGTGGTAACATATATTTTATTATT